GGCTCGCCTAGAGGAGAGAGAGAGGTTTGAAAGGCTAGGAGATTTCGGTTTATGATGCCGCTTTGATGGTCGTTTCTTAGATCGTATATGGAATGCCAACTCGTCATACGAATCCATCCATTCAGATATATTTGTCCGTTTCTTTTCCTGAGAGGACATAATTAGCTTTTTAGAGTCCTTGAAACTGTACATGAAGGATCCGGGTTGTCCTCTATCACGGGTTTGAGGTTTGTGCGACGAAGTATGTGATGCCAGATTGGAGGAAGAGTTCAGGGTGCCGAGTTCAGAGCTGCGTGGGCGCACGGCTGTTTCGTCTATGACTGAATGCCCAACATGGAGGTTTGGTATAGAAATATTCGACTGTTCACTTTCCATTACCCCCATCATCTGTATCTCGTACATTCGCACTTTGGGCTGGAATAACTTCGGCTGGGGCGCAACTGTGCCGAAAGCTGGAGGCGTAACGTTGTTTTTTTTCCATTTTTTGTCTTGATAATTGTGAGCACCCCAGAACGAGATGTCAATCCAATATGGGATACCATATCCCCATTCTTCAGGGTCAAGACTGGTCTTTACGGCAGAACTTGACTTGGTTGCCCGTGAGAGCGAATCAGAAATATGGGTAGGTTTGGGGATAGGAGGCCAGGCCGCAATTGTAGTCTTTGTGGACGTTGGCGATGCAACCTCAGAAGGACCAACAATGGAGGCTGTGTCATTGGTAGAAACTGATGAGTGTGAGGAGCGTCTTTTAGGTATCTTATATTTGAATAGTGGTACCGAATGTAACGGCATAGGACTCAAACATATAAGATCAATGCCAATTGAACGGCTTCCAAGGACATCCGAAGTCAAGGCAAGAGTATCAAATCCCACTTCAAAGGTGCCAGATCCAGGAGTAATCATAGCAATAGATGTTCCCGTCCTAACGAGGTCACGGCCTACATATTCGAAATCAAGGTAGGATGAAGCGATATTGATAGCTTCTAAGATATTGCCCTTTATTGCTGATGTGAGGTGGCCTGCGATAGTAGGCGAGGTACCAGCAGTAGCAATTGGTGGAGAGCCCTCAATATCGGAAACCTCGTCCCCCGAAGTTTGAGGTGATGGAATCAAAATATCACGAAGGAAAGTTCTAAATTCCCTCTTCAGTTCGTCCAAAATAGCCGTCCACCGGCCACTAGGCATATCATTGACAACAACTCGATAGAAATCCTGTACACTAGCTCCAGCCTCACTTGTTGTATTTAGGTTAAGAGAGCTGCCGTTGAGATTCATCGGTTTAAATTCATCGGAAACGGGAATGTTGTCGTCATACTCAACTCTGGTAAACATGACAATGGTAACCAAATGATGCGCATCGATAGTAGCCCAGCGTTTGAAAAGTTCAGGTAGTAGACCGTCGACAACCCGACTAAACAGGATATCACCAGTACCTTCAGTGTTAAAATCCCACATTTCCTTGGACATCTGTATGAAGAGGACGTATCTAGCCGATTCGCTCCTAAATATCGGGATGGTGCGAGGGGTAAAGTACCCAGCCATCACTTTTCGACCATCCTGAAAGATAGACTTGACCGTTGCTTTTACCGTGTTCATGAAAACAATCTTCTGTCCCTTGTAGAGAGGCCGGTCCAGTAACTCAGACATGGCCATCCTCCACATATCCGCCCGCAGCAGGAACTGATCGCGAAATACTAGCTCCACATGAGTAGCTGAACATTGCGACCGTGGCTTCACTGTCAAAAGAACCCGGGATCGTTTCTTGAATCCAAATCGGTTGGCAACCTGATTTGAGACTGATATCTGAAGGTTGGGATGTCTGTTTAAGATTTCTGGGTTCATATGCTTGACAATAAACAGGAAATTGCTCACGACATGAGATGAGCCTGGCAATGTGCCATCTCCACGGCGTGAGTCCCTATGACTAGGCAGAGGGCTATAACGGCCACCGGCACCACCACCTCCCCCACTCTGACTCCGAGCTGGGTTGACTCCGGGCTCATCTTGCTGGGGAATGGTAATACTGGCAAACTCCCCCTCCATCTGGGAGTCCGAGGGGGTTTCCCCATAAAGCGCAGACAGCTCGATGAGATCTCCTACTTTGACAGCCCAGTCTCCGAGGGCCTGTCGATTGAACAAAACATCTTCTCTAGAGAAGTTTTCATCGTGAACAGAGAGGAGACAAGCTCTGTAACTGGAGCTTGCGGCTGAGCTCTGAGAGGGAGCTGTACTGGGAGACTTGGGCCGCGGCTCATAAGTCGACCCTGACGCAGACCGGATCGACCCAGTCTCAACGTTGCCTTGTTTCAGGTCTCTCGAATGCATGCCTTTGGACAGTTCGGATAGCACCATGGCTTCTCAAGTGTCAACCCATCGTCTGATTGTGACTGTGGTGGTATATCAGACGAGCAAGCTTCCGTCAGGTCTAAAATCTTGTTATCATCGACCGCTCTATCCCAGCCAGCATGGACAGGACATCCGGAAGGGCGATAGATAGGCGCCGTCTTGTCCTCGCTGCGTCTACTTCTGCATCTTAGTAACTATTCCGTTGCCCATCTCTCGTCCCTCGTTCTTTAGATGTATCTCTTCTTTTGTCGCGGCGAGGAGGTTCTGGTTTCGACAAGGGCGAACCTAAAAAAGCCATATCACGTGATATCGCCGAAGAAGCCGAAATGATGAAACAGACAGAGAAGAAAAGAAGCAAAAAAAAAAAAAAGGTCGAAAAGACGAGCAGAAGGAAAAGGGAGAGAATTCAGCCTGAGCGGGGAACGGCCTCTGTCGGACATGGTATTCTAGGGCGAACGCTGCTGTTGTTGGCGCTGCCCCTTTCTCCATACCTATACATATCACACTACGCTAGAGTGTTTGGGAGGCAACCCCCGAGTTCTCCACCCCCGTCTTATAATTTTATCAACACCTCGATCAGCGGCAGGGACGAAAAGACGGCAGAAGAAGGCGACAGAAAAAACCCATCATCTCTCATTTCTCCCTCCTCTCCAGCATGCTGTAGAAAGACATCGGCTATTCCCTTCCGTTCGTTTGCTCTCTGTCAGCTCCTCCCCGTCAAATCTCCCGCGGCGCCGCTCTGCCCCGGACCGCCAACACTTAATCGTCACTTTTTCGCCTCCTGAGTCCTTGACCCCGTCTCTTTGCTGCATTAAGTACCGGAACACTCTGGAATTCAACTTTACTACTCTGTGACCTGGAGTGATCGAGGAGGATGGCGTTTGTGAACGAGGCAGAGAAGGAAACGAGAGCCGATAGTGCACTGAATGAATCGAGCGTCCCCACCACGCGACCAGAGACGGACGATTTCGCCCATGGAACCAGCATTCAGACCTCAGCCGTCGCTTCGCAAGAGAATACGCGTACGCCAGAGGGTGAACAGGGACAGGCTGTTCAAGGTGCTGTTGTGGACGCGAAGGAGGCAGAGCCGCAGACATCACCACAACAGTTAAGCCTTGGACAAGAACAACAAAATCAGCAGCCAGATTCGAAACCGGAGGCTGGCGGGGCTACATCGATATCACCAGAGGAGGCTGGCCAGTCGAGCATCGGGGCGTCCGTAGAGGGCCAGCCTTCAGTATCCTTATCCCAGTCTACGCCTTCGACAAACGATGGACCTACTTTACTCCTCAATATCCTGCTTACCTCCGGCGGTAAGCATCCTTTTAAACTGGATGGCAAATATCTACGGAAACGAGAGGTTAATGTTGCCGACAACGACCCGTTCTCCATGTCTGTATATACATTAAAAGAATTAATATGGAGGGAATGGAGGTCAGGTATGTATTATCAGAAAAACACACCTTTTCTCTATTACTATCTTGTTAACTTATTTTTATAATCTCTTCTATACAAATATCTGGTTGCTGATTTCTCATATCATCCATAGACTGGGAACCTCGTCCATCCTCCCCCGCGGCTATCCGACTTATATCCTTTGGAAAGTTGTTGGATGACAAGTCGCCGCTCTCTGGTACGCCGGCTCCGAGTTGAACCATCTATATCTACGCCCTGGGAAAATTAGGAATTCTAACTCTGTGTACAGAATGCAGATTCAACCGAGAAGGTCCAAATGTGGTCCATATGACCATCAAGCCACAAGAGATAGTTGACGAAGAAGATGCAAAAGCCGCCAAAAGCACCCAGAACCGGGAGCATGAAGAGGGAGAAAGAAGCCCCGGCTGCCGCTGTGCCATATTATAATTGGCTCTTACTCTTTTACTTTATAAAAGCTCTCTTTTCCCACGATCTAACCTGAGGCCGGGTGATTTTGGGGGAGATGTTTCCATCTTAATGCCGTAACTGCATAATTGCGCAGGCACCGCATACACTCCTTTTCCTCATACCCCTACACTTCTACACTCATCTTAACCCGGAGTTCTTTCGACCTACCGCCAATACTGACTTTGTCCTTCTTGACCGTTTCCGCTATGTGTCTCTTCTGTTTTTTTGGTGGCGCAACCTGGAGTTTGTATAAGTCGTCATACACTTGTTCTGCCTTACTTTTCTTTCTATCTACCATTCCTCTTCCGGTTTTCTCAACTCTTCCAACCAGTTTGAAACGCTTCTGTTTTTCTTTATTTTTGCTTTGTGCCTTGATTTATCTTCCAGTTCCCTGCTTGATGATATGTACAGCGAAGTGATGGTCGGAATAGGCGATTGAATCGGAGGTCTGTATTTGTCCCCTTCACTGCCTGCATTTAATTCGATTTGATATACTGTTACTTGTCACTTCCTTATCAAGTCCTACTCAATGCCCTATGCAACAACCTATCCCTTTGCTGCCTGTTAATCTCGCCAAGTCGTCACTTTTAACGCTCCTTTATGCGTCTGCATAATACCCTGATTTGAAAAGAAACGAATAGAGGTAGGATTTGCATATGACGCAATACCGCGTTTTCCCGCTTTGATTTTAGGTCAAGTTCTATATGGATGTTGCCGAACCTTGTACAGCCTACGCCCTTCTACTTCCCTGAGTTGGTTTCATACTGTTTTCATTCATTAATATATAGAGACGTCCTGGCAATGTGGATGGAATAAACAAGTTTCTCGTAAATACGTCGCCTGAACATTAAGAGCGTCCAGACTGGAGTTAGAATATGGATTTTCATTGTCTTGAATACTCAAATTGTATTCATCTCGCAAATTGACGGACATGACATTGGAAAATGAACCCGCTTCTCTATGATAAACTGAGGCATTAGTTCATCTTCAATCTATGCTCCAGCTCGTCATGGAAGCTAGGAGGCTCGCGAAGCTCATCTCCTAGAAACGGATGTTAGCAGCTCTTCCTTAGAGTTGTCACATAGTATTTCATTCTTGATATACGTACCAGGATACACGTCTTCCCAAGTAACTTCCGTCTCCCGCCCTCCCAAGGCCAAAATATCCTCGTGTATACTTCCATGCATATTCCCACCTAGGACTGCTGGCTTCCACTGACTATCACGAACAATCTTCATCTCCATACCTCGACGTACTGGCTCCGCCATGCCATGAATCCGCCGAATAGACTCCATCTTCAAAGCATCTTGTGTTTGGCGCCAATTCAACAAGCGGGCTTCAAGAGGGTGCGTTGAGTTGGTTTTCTGCAGGCCAGGCGTTTCTGGGGCTGCCGTGAGCGAGGAGCGGAGAGTATCGGGGAGACCTGGGGCGGATGGAGCGCCATTGCGGAGGTGAGGTTGTGGGGTTTTCTTGGAGGTATTGGAGGTTTCTGAAGAGTAGTTGGTTTGGGGAGTGAAACGAAGAGACTGTTCAAAGCGTTAGTAACAGTCAAATATCTTCTTTGGCATCTCCGATGCTCTAAGATGCTAGTCGAAAACTGCTTCTATTGAGAGTACTTTACCATGGCAGGCAGTGCTACGGAAATTACTTCCAAAAACTCCCGTAAAAATCGCTTGTATGAAAATATTACTGCCTGGCCTCAAATGTAGGAGAAGAAGTGTAGGCTCAGAGAAGGCAGTGCAGAGGAGTCGTTGATAGAGCTGATGTAGGTGAGAAGCAAGCAAGCCGCCAGGCACGAGTCAACAACGCAAAGCTTATCCGGCGACCCGCAGAGACCAACTTGGCACTTCGTCCCATTTGCGTCATGTGACTGAATATCAAAAAATCAAACATCGACGGGCAGCTGGAGCTACGAAAAGGATGCCATCAATAACCTCCAGTTTGCTCACGGCCGGAAAAGAAGAAGCAGACAGATGACAATGGTGCTATTCCCCTCACTTCTCACGATACGGTTCTTCCGCCATATAATCCAGCGCCAATTCCCTTCGACCACGCCAAAGCCGCACTGCACCCCTTCAGCGCTCTCTTCGCAATTCCTCCGATCCTCTGCTCTAAATGCGTTCCACAAGAGCTTTTCCACCACATCACAGCTACAAGCTACACTGAATCAAGTACGACGTGGCTGCCGATCTGGCCAAAAAGCGCGAAAGAAGCGATCTCCGGCCCTTGTTAACCGGCCACAGCTGAAAGGAGTGTGCTTGAAGACACAAGTTGAAAAGCCAAAGAAGCCCAATTCCGGAGAAAGAAAGACCGCGAGAGTTAAGCTTACCAGTGGAAAGGTTATTACGGCTTATATTCCTGGTGAAGGTAGGATCTTCGGAGCCAAACTCGTTTGTTATGAACTGATGGCTAAATACTTCTGACTTTTCTAGGCCACAACATCCAGCAGCACAGTGTGGTTTTGGTGCGAGGAGGACGACTTCAGGATTGTCCTGGTGTGAAATATCGTCTTGTTCGTGGAGCAATGGATTTAGTAAGTTTCCACTTGTAGGATGTTTGCCGGAAGATATGAGATTGGCGCTAACCATTGTTATAGAATGGGGTTGGAAATCGATTGACCAGTCGGTCGAAGTATGGAACGAAGAAACCAAAAGCCTCCACATAATCTGGAATGTAAAACAGCAGAAGGCTAAGGTGTGGACGGGTATTGTTGTTATTAATTGACGAGGAGTAAGTTAACATTGGGGCTGTATAAATATTATATGGGCCATTTCTTGCAACTATTACTACGCAACCACCTCCAATTCCACACGGTGCACTGTTATAAATATTGTATATTATCATCAGGCAGGTGAAACGCCGGAGAAGTTTTTTAAGGAGTTTTTTTTTTTTTTTTTTAATACACAGGGTGAAATATAGGCCAATACCATCAAGATCTCAAATAATGCAATAATGGAAACAGGAGGCTAGCAAATCCCAGTCCAGGCCTATATACAGATAGCAAGAATAGGAACGTATTCCGAAAGTGGTAAAATGCTCATGATAATAGGTGGGAAGAACAAAGCTCATGACGCCTAGATGTGCTTTGAATTTTTTTTTTTGTTCGCTATATTTTGTTTTTATTCTCTTTGGCATAAAACGTGCTGTTTAATTCTAAAGTAGCCATTTTGGTCCTCATAGTAAAGGAAGCTTAGGCATTTGGAAGCGTGATATCGTATGGATAAAAGGAAGATGAGATGGAACAATATGGTTGAGTAATGAGCCAACTTGGTCATCAGAAGTAAACAATTTGCGACAAGGGTTATAGACGAACGGTTTAATGACTCTCGGCTTCCCAACCGGCTGGTTTGCTCATCTTGTTTATGTCGAAGAAACGAGATGTACCTATTCACGTTAGATACTTATTGAGATATGGGGTGAAAGGGCGATGAGAACAAAACAGAAAACTCACATGAATACGATTTCCAGTCAAAGTTGTCACCTGGGTTGCAATGACATTTCAAATCTAGTCTGGTCTGTTCTCCGGTAGGACAGTGGACGAATGGAACATGCCTGTATGCAATTTCATTGAAAAAGTGGACCTCATCCTTGTTTAGCATAAGGGAGACTGCAATGCTATGAACAGGGGCATCACCCCATCTTTCATAGAAAAAGCCACCATCCTGATCCAGGAGGTTGAAGAAGTCAAGGTATTTTTGAGATCGGAAGAAGTTCAAATCACCGACTTCAAAGTTAGACCACTTCAGGGATGATAGGTTAGCATGGAGCTGCTAAGTCACAACAACGCGTCAGGTGCATATAACTTACGAAATGGCAATTGTTGTATGTTTTACCACCGTCAGCGCTAATGAACTCGAGGTTATTATCCTTTGCAATATGCTCTGGGTACTGTTCAATGAATTTCCTAGTACTCTTCCATAGAGTCTCAATGGTGCCGGGGTACTCGGGCAGACTGATAACGAAGCTGTATTTTTTGTTGTTGTCCTTCATGAACTTAAATGGGTCAATATGGATGTCACAGAAGTATTCGATACTGGGTTCCACACGCCAGTAGTAGTCATATTGCATCATAAGTTCATGACGGAAGAAGAACCCGGACTCATAGCGGCACATGTGTCTGTAACTCTCAGAATCGCCGTAAATAATTTCTTTCTGTTTCATGACTCTTCTAGTTTCCGCAGCTTTGTTCTGATCAATCCAGCTGGGGTATGACCAATGCTCCTTTGGAATAAGTCCGTAGTGAGTTTTTCCAGAGACCAGCCTGCTAGTAAACTTCTTAAACTCATCTGAAAATTCTGCGTCGTTCAAGAACACCCAGTCGTAGTGATAGTTCTTGTTGAAGCGGTCTTCTACCTGGCGAATGGATTTTGCAATTTCCCATAGATCTGAGTTTCGTGCCAGTGTGACGAACGTGGCATTCACTTTTTCGTAACCCGGACCAGCAGCATTCCCAGTGGGTGGATTGGGAGTAACAGGGTTGGGGGCATCTTGTTTGGGGGATTGTTGTGTGGGAGGCTGCAGGGGTGTAGATGGAGGAGTAACGGGAGGAGCAGGCGCTTTATCCTCGCCAGCCGGAGACGAGACGGCCTGTTGACCAGACTTTGGATAAGATAGACCAAGATCACTTGCCTTGGGGATTGGCAGCGAGGAGGAAGTGATAAAATGTATGATAGCAAGGCCCTATTTCACCGCCGTCAGAATCATCAACTACTTTATGACCTTCGTGTAGGAAAGCAAACCACGAGATTGACGTACCAGAATTGCAAAGAGGATGTACCGCAGGTACTTGCCCTGGGTTACATTCATCTTGACGACTGTAGGATATTTAACAGTGGCGAAATGGCCTCTTCTGTCTCCTCTGCTGTATCGGTTATAGGTAGACAAGTTCTTCGTCCTGGGAGCGGCGCTGAAGTACTGCGTGCTCCGGATCAAACGAGATGCATGCAAAGATGTGAAGTCGGCCAGCGAGAGGAAGCAAAGCGATGAGAAAAGCAGAGGCGGAGCAGAATCGAGAGAAGAATTCACATCGTCCCTGCCGCAAGGTCAAAGTCTGGCTTTTTTGTGGCTGATGAGAGCCGCGTGGAAAGTCGCAAGGTCGAGCTGGACTCACCTGGATGCAAATCTTTGGACGTTTCAAGCTGGAAAAAGAAAATGACCATGATTAGTCATCAACCCCTTTTCTCATCCATGACGCGACTTTATTACTATATTGTTGATTATTGATTGGGAAGCAATAGCTAGTTGGTGGATATATTGGCGGGTGTCTCTACTCTGGTCCGATTGTGCGTACTCCGGTTACTGCATGGCACGACGTTGACTTTCTTATAGGTGGCGAGTTACTCCATATTTCGCTGACAGGGTCTCCGTACGGAGTACGGGTAGATGGCCAGTTAATACTCTGCAACAGGGCCAGCCAGAGCATAGAAGCGCGTGGTACGCGCTATATCATAGACCCGATGATGATGGAGCTGCGCCGTACATGAATGAGGACTGCTAAAACTGAAGCAAGCATGAAGAGAATAGGAAAAGCCTGAGAGAGTCAACTTATGAACCTCATCCGCCTCCTGGCTTACATTCTCCTGTCTTATACACTCTCCTGTTGTAATAATATTAGCAGTCCTGAGTAGGATCACATATACACGTGATCGATCTAAATTGTAATATGACTAATTAATGACTAAGCATCAATATGCAAAGATCAACGATTAAAAAGAACCGAAAGGACGAAGCAGAAACACACAACTTCAGCTGCTTCAGCTTTGCGATTTCCAACACGCAGCACCCATCTGGAGCTTCGCTACCATTTTCGCGAGCCGCTTGGTCGGCAGTTAAGACAGGATGTCCTTTTTCGGGTTCGACACCAAGCTTCCGGAGGACCGTCCCGCGGCGTCTGCGCAGAGGGGCATCTTCGACGCCCCAGACCCGTTTGCGGAGGTTGCTCGCGCTACAGCAGGTAGAGCGGACTACGATGACGACGATGTGTGAGTCTCATAGTGATACTTCTCTGGCCAAGTGCGCCCTTGTAATACTATGCTGACCGCGGTTCCTGCATTGGAAAAAAAAAACACAGAATTGATTTTGAGGATACCTACGATGGGCTTGGAGACCAGCTCGAAGAAGCGAATGACGATTTCAACGATGACACGTTTGGAGATGCAGCCGGTGGGGAGAACAAGCCGGTGGGCAAAGACTTCGATTTCTTCGGGAATACCGCTCAGATGACAAATGTCTTGGGCGAGGAACAAGTGCTCTATAACTTGCAACATGGCTCATCCAAGGCCACCGCTAAACCCTCCCTACCCTCACTTCCCAAGCGGACGGGATATGAGAAATACCAAGACCCCGGTTATATCCCCGAAATTCAAGCAAAATCAAGTGTATGGGGGACCACCGCTACTCAGAAGCCGAAGACTGTTGCGGCTGAGACAGTTCCAAAGGAGCAACCGGCTTCTGAGCCTCCAAAGAAGATGCTGAGTCTAGAGGAGGTAGAAGCTCAGATGAGGATGCAGGCTATGCGACAAGTACCTCAGCAGCCTCAGAGCCAACCACCTCCCCAACAGCAATTTACGACCCCCATGCCCCCTCCAGGCGTCCCTCCAATGCAATTCCCCAACCAGTCACTGCTCCACCACCCCGAGGCGCTTGGCCAACTACCCACTGAAGAATTGATTTCTCATCAGCAGTATCATCCAAATAACATGGCTCCGCCCATTGGGTTCCCGCAACAGCCACCCTTGCAACAACAGCCGCAGAAACCCAATTTCCCTCTACATCTTCTACAACAATCACAGCAGCAGCAGCAACACCAACCACAACATCATCAGCAGCAGCAGGTCCAACAACAGCAACACCGGCAACCGCACCAGGCTGGCCGGCATTGGGCTGGCCCTGCTCGCCATCAGGGCAAACCTCAAGGACCATATACTTTGGATCACCCGCTGATGGGGCAAGGTGGTGTCCCCGCAGCTCTGAATCCAAAGATCATGGAGTTGCCGGAAGAGCAGAGGAATGCGATTCTGTTGGAAGATGCCAAACGTGCAAAGAGAAACCACAAGATTTTCCTCCTCTCCAAAGGAAACGGCTTAATGACTCCACAAGACAAGAACTTTATTACTCGAATACAGCTTCAACAGTTGGTAACGGCGACCGGCAACACCGGCGACGCCAACCCAGAATCCCTTCTCACGGAAGATTTCTACTACCAAGTGTATAGCCAGATCCGCGGTGCCCCGCGCCAACATCCTCGCCAACCCCTTGGTCACTTTGCACAGACATACCTTTCTCAAACCGGAGGCCGATCTGGCGGTAACATGAATAGAAGATCCCATTTCAGCGGCGACAACCACATGCAGCGCATGCAACAACAAGTACAGAGGGCTGTTGAAGCCGCCAAGCTAAAGCCAAAGAACAAACAACTCATAATTGAAGGGAGCCTGGGGAAAATATCCTTTAGCAATGCCAAGACCCCCAAGCCTTTGCTCAACATCAAACGCCCTGAAAGTTCTGACGGGCAAAGACCTTCTACCGCAAAGAAAACACAGCTCAGTTCTAGTGATCGCAAGTCCATCCTGCAGAATATCGAGACTGTTTACATTACGTTGATGAACATGGAGAATCTTGTACGCTTGATGCCACCAATTCCAAACCCGGAAATAGAAGATGAAGAGGCGGTAGAACGATACACGGAATGGCAACGAAAAATGCACCACCTAAAAGAGGTGCTATGGGACAGCACAAAAGTGCTTGAGCCCATTGACTCTGTCTCTGTCACCATACACCCATTTATCGCATTTTTGTCGTACCCCAAGGGCAAAAAAGCCATTCCCCGAATCTTCCAACAAATTGACCAGGAACAGCGTATCACCATGCTGACCATGATTATCTATCACTTGGACACATTGGATGTTGTATCAAGAGCCCAGCTACAACCAGGTGAAACTCAACCTCCGGGTCCCGTGCGCGAAGAAATTGAGCTATTCAACCAAGCCGTAATGCCCAGCTTACTCGGCTACGTGAGCGATGCCCCTATTCACATTGTCATTGGTCTCCTCGGCTTAGTTGTTGATAAAACTCAGATTCACGCTATTGCAAGGACTAAGATTGGACTTGGAACTTTGACCATGCTGCTGAGCCGAGCGGAACTAGTCAAAGAAGCTGGTGGTGTTCCAGAGCCGGAATTGGCGCAGTGGACTAAGGTATACAATCGGCTGTTTGACAGCATGGAGCCTGCGCTCGCCTATCTATTCCCGGGTACGATTAACAGTGGTGATGACATGTATGTTTGGCAATTCCTTGCTGCTATGGGTATTGGTGCAAACCCTGAACAGCAGCAGCGGCTGGTCATCGCCGTAAAGTGAGTGATCCTTCAATACATCCCCCTTAACCTGATTTGGAGAGTATTGCTAACGCTCCTCCGCCATAGGGACCGAGTCATGGAAACTGTCGCCCAAAGTAAAACGCTTCCAGCAGATATGGCTAGCCAGCGTTTGGGCAATGTCAACCTGTTTATGCGGGCTATTGGACTCGACGTCGAACTCCTAGGATAATCCACCCCTCCTACTCCGTACATTTATCTAATTCAATATCGCTGTTTTTCCTTTATCCCTCCTTTTAACCTCTCTATGTTGACATTTTTTCTCATCTGAGAATATCGTCTCTTGTCTTACGGATGGTAAACACCGCGCTTTTGACAATGCATTAGGTCTGCTGTCTTCATACTGACGTTTATATTATATCTACATGAATTTGGGCAGTATATACCCCCTTTGTTTTCCTCTGCCGGTTACTACTTTTCCTTTTCCTTAGAGAAGGGCGCATATGAGGTTCGTCTCATGACACTTCTGTGGTATAAACGGGTTATTGGCACGGTAGCAGGCAAGTATCGCATTGCAATTTTGGTAGTTGGTGGATATAACAAAAATGATATATGATGAATTACCAATGCCTACCTACACATCATGATTCAAATATTGAGTCACAATATGTTATTACGTATCATCTAAAATCTGTGTTTCCTACCATATACCTCCCGGATAAGGAGAGTAAATGACCGGCATCTCACGCACCCACCGCGGCTGCTCCCGCTCAACCTCCTGGATCATCCAGTTCGCCCAGTCTCTCCTCTCCAGGTAGATGGTGGTCTTTCCGTCCCCAATCCAGCCAGTTTGCGCCACTCGTCCATCCTCCTGTGAGCCCCCAAGTACGCCTACCCTGTACAGCGTCCAGTCCAGTCCCTCTCCTTTTTCCTTGAAGACTTCTCCAATACCTAGGATTTCTCTCTGCGATCGACGACCAAGCATGTACACGGTCCAATACGCAGCAGTTCTCATGAACCCGAACTGATCACGAGCGTCGTAAGCACTGATCGTCGACATTGCGATGATGCGCGTAACGCCGTGCTGGCGCATTAATTTGAGGATCAGTCGGTATCCATCAGAGAACTGGTGGCCATAATCGCCGAAGATGCTCTTGGGGCCAATGCAGGATAGTATTGCATCCTGTCCTTTGATGGCTGCGGAGAGCGAAGACTCGTCGGATAGAGAGCCCTCGTATATTGCCTAGACATCGTTAACTAGTTAGTTAATTTAACGGGCTAACTACCCAGCTGTGGGTTGATCTGGATGATCCCGTCTACCTTGACTCGGTCTGAGCTCGAGATGGCTTCTGGCACCCTGCTCCTGTCACGGACATGCAGTGTTATCTCATGGCCGTGTTCGATGGCCTTGCGGACTGTCAGTCCCCCGGCTGCTCCTGTAGCGCCGAATATAAGCAGTTTCATGGCCCGGCTTGATAGATGGGCAGCTAACTAGATAGTGAACTGGAAAGCCGTCAACTGGCTAGCAGTGAGTAGTTAGTTGGTTATATGTAAGCCGCCGCGGTGCGGTGAGATTGCGCCTCGCTCTCAGGCTCCGTGTCTCAAGAACTGGTTAGTTAGCAAGCTGGCCAGTCAGCTATACTGCTAGCTAGCTAACTAGATAACTATATGAGAGAGGCTCCACGATCGGTAGCGTCACCCTTGCAGGCCGCACTGTCTGTCCGACATCTGAAACGCCCTTGTGTCGTCATCCAATCCATGCGGCTCGGAGACCACCAGCCAGCCCGCCTGCACCGCGTTTGTTAGCTAACCATCATCTCACTTACACCTCCAGGGGCCACCAGCCAGCCAGCTAAATAACTGCCCCGCCGCTTGACGCTGGTGTCTCTCAGCCAAGTTCACAGTCGCATCTCACAGTCCTTCTACACACCCTCACGCCCGCTAATATGGCTGCCGGATCAGTTCTTGTTACGGGGTAAGCATGTCCTGGATTCCTGTGCGCGGGTCGTTGCCGTGGGCTGACTTGCATGCGCCACCTAAAGGGGGACGGGCTACATCGGCTCCTTCACGGCGCTCGCCCTGCTCGAGGCCGGGTACAAAGTTGTCGTGGTCGATAGCCTGTACAATTCCTCAGAGGAGGCACTCAATCGCATAGAATTGATTTGTGGAAAGCGTCCGGAGTTCGTCAATCTCGATGTTAGAGACGAGGCAGCCTTCGACAAGGTCTTTGACGCGCACCCTGATATTGACAGCGTGATCCATTTCGCAGCTCTAAAGGTAAGTTGGTTACTCTCCCAGGTAACTAGAGAATTGGTAAATGGCGTTGGATATTACTGTTGCTAACTTGTTTTGCCCAGGCTGTCGGTGAATCCACTGAACGTCCGCTAGACTACTACGACGTCAACGTTCATGGCTCGATCTGTCTGCTGCGGTCGATGGTGCGTCACAATGTAACTAACATCGTCTTCTCGAGCTCAGCGACCGTGTATGGAGACGCTACTCGCTTCCCAAACATGATTCCCATTCCGGAGGAATGCCCCTTGGGCCCAACCAACCCATACGGGAATACAAAAGTGGCAATCGAATCAGCAATAACTGACATGGTCAATTCGGAGAGAGCCCGGGCAAAGAGGGCCGGAAAGCCAGAAGATGTTAAGAAGTGGAATGGTGCCTTGTTGCGGTACTTTAACCCGGCTGGTGCCCACCCCAGTGGAATCATGGGAGAAGACCCCCAAGGTGTTCCGTATAACTTGCTTCCTTTGCTCGCACAGGTTGCAAATGGAAAGAGAGAGAAACTCTCCGTGTTCGGCAATGGTATGTGTATCTCACCTTTCCAGAATTTAGGAGATCCTAGTTTTTACTCGTACAGCGGCTAACCAATGGCTAGATTATGCTTCCCACGATGGCACTGCCATCCGTGACTACATTCACATTCTCGACCTTGCGGATGGCCATCTAGAGGCGCTCAATTACCTGCGTGCAAACCATCCCGGTGTTCGTGCATGGAATCTCGGTACCGGTAAGGGAAGCACTGTCTTGGAGATGGTCAAGGCTTTCAGCGCTGCTGTTGGACGAGATCTTCCATATGAGATTGCTCCTCGTCGTGACGGAGATGTCCTCGACCTTACCAGTAACCCATCAAGGGCCAATAAGGAGCTTGGATGGGTCGCTAAACGTGACCTTCACCAGGCTTGCGAAGACCTATGGAGATGGACTGAAAATAACCCTCAGGGGTACCGACAGAGCCCTCCTGCAGCCCTGCTTGAAAAATTGAAGGCGAAATCGACGTAAGGACAACAAAACCCAAGGCATCTACACTATAGGAAGACTATAGACGCTACATCTCGCAGCATTGATGGAACGAAAAAAAAAGAGTCTGCTGTATTTCTTCTATGTTTAGATTTCGATTTACCTGGTCATACTACACAAGAAACTGTGGGTTTATGGGTATAATGGTAATAGGGCAGTAAGGAAATAAGTAGGAAAAAGGCGATACTACACTCTTTATTAGGAAAATCCAATTAACTCTGCCAGAGCTATACATTCAGTTCATTGCTCCATCTATGTTCGGCCGTATAATCACATCATGCCCCTGTGTGTAGGCTCATTTCTTCCTCTTTCCTTCAATTGACGTCTCAGTCTTTGACTGCTTTTTCTTTTTCTTCTCTTCCTCCTCTCTAGCTTTCTTCTCCATCGCCCTGAGTAAAGCAGCTTCCTTTTCCTTCTGCTCAATTTGTCGCTGGCTGAACTCCCATAGCTCTTTGCCTGCCTTCTCATCCATGATCTCGCTTCGAAGAACGTGGCGCTCCTTGCATTCCTTTAATAAGGTCCCTCCCTCGATACCTACTTTCATACGCCCGGTCATGTCGCTATTTTCACCCGCCATTTTCTTAATTTCATCAAGGCTAACGGCGGCCGTGTTCCCAACTCCGCTGAAGTTTGCTTCCATTGCTGCCATAAGTATACTCTGTGCGCCTTGCTCGGACGATTTAAGCACTAGCCACCATATCGGCCAAGTTATAAGATAGAATAAGAGCCCCCACAATGAGCCTCCAGTAAGCCACCGACGGGTTCCTGGAGTTCTGCAAAATCCTGGGTCCACAACTAAGACCCGAGCGGGCGGAGGTGGGAGAGGGTTATTTTGCTTGTCAGTGCGAGGGGTATAAGTTAAATGTTGCTGAAATGAGCGTGCAAAAATCATAAGTGCAAGCTTAGAGGTCGCATACATGCTGCTACTGGACACGAGCGATTCGGGATCCGTTTTGGCCTTTTGTTTTGACGACGAATCAACTGAATGCTGGATGACTGTTGCCTTTTCCAATACTTTGAGATCTAACTTATTCGCCCCGATATAACTTGAACAAGTAGTGAATATAACTCGTACGTCTCGGTCGGGCGGCTGGGCTCGCAAAGCAGGGCTTAAAATGCTCAGTAAATGGTAGTTAGCAAGATAATTTATTTGCCATTCTTCCTGAAGCCCTTCGCTTGTTCCATGCGATGTTCGAGAAGAAGATGGTTTTTGTGTATTCGCACAAAGCACAATCATATCAAGCCGCCGTACAGGGCTGTTGTCGATCCATTTTGTAGCAAACAGCCGAATGGAATACAGCGAGGAAAGGTCAACTTGTTCTGCGTATATGAGTTCGTTTCCAGTCGAGGTACGGAGATCTTCAATATAGTCGACAACAAACGGATCAGAAGGCAAGTGTTGGGTCAGTATTATGACCTGGGCACCTCTAATTGCCAATTCTCGAACGACCGCTGCACCAATGCCAGATGTTCCGCCCTATATTCCCATAATAAAAGGTAAAGCATTAATAAAGTATCAGGTTAATTGCATATATTGTAATGCCCATACCGTAACAAGTACCACTTTAGAGTGCATGACTTTCGGAGTCAAGGTGGCTCCTCCAAAATATCGTTTTAACGCGGCAATTACAGCAAGACCAGCTACTGTTTTCATGGCAGTATATCCATAGGGAATTGCTGAAAGGCCTCGGGTAGCACCCTCAGCAAGGATGGGCAAAGGCATAATGGCGACAGTTTTCTTCTGACCTCAAAAGCTGGCAGCGAAAAAGGATCTAGGTGGGAAGTTCAGCCCCTGGTTACGAGGGCGTGGCAACTAAACGATTGTTGCTTAGTGGTAGATATATTTAGATGCTCGTTGCAATATATAGAAAAGGCCAATCAATTAATCTCGACATAATGCTTGTTTAGATGGGATCCTTACTCTGTGCACCACAAATTCATTGCCCTGCTCGTGAGTTCGGGCTTAGGATTACGATCCAAAGACGGGAGTCGATCTTAAGGTTATTACATAATACACCACACTCTTTTTGAGCCTCAACATTAACGCAAGGTCTTTGCAACCGCAAGAAAGCACAATGACGAGAGCAGAAGGTAATGGCCTCCGATAACGAAGAATACTCTGTACCACAGGCTTTCGGTGCCGGTATAAAAAGAAAACGTGTTTCATTCATTCCATCCAAGGATACAGCTACTCTCTCTACAACTTCTGCCCCCGTCACAGTTTCTTCCTCGCCTGCGCCTGGAGCGTCGTCCATAGCAGATAAATACCTCTCTATCGTACTCCCATCGAGTAGTCAGTCGGATTCTCTCTTGCCAAACCGTGCTTCCACGGATACGAAGCTATGCGAGGTTTGTCATCTCCCGTTAAAGGGTACTCCTAAGCGTCCGAAGCAGGATTGTGAAAAGGATACCCAGGATTCAACCAGCGAGTCGGCAGTCCCTGTGCCGCATGAGGCTTCTCTAGCGCATCAAGTATGCCTCCCACATTCCCATCCACCATCCGCCATTGATCGGAAAGGGAAAGGCTACAGGTACCTCTCCTCTTATGGCTGGGACCCCGATTCTCGCACCGGCCTAGGGCCCACTGGGTCAGGTATTCAGATTCCACTCAAACCAAAAATCAAGAATGACACAATCGGGTTAGGAGTAGGCTCTTGGAGAGATGAAATAGAGAATACGGGAGGGAAGCGGCATGAACGCAGACTTAAGCAACTACGGGAAAAGGAGGAAGCTAATAGGGTAAAAAACGCCCCTAAGCTGAATGCAAAACAAATTCGGCTACAGGAGGAAGCGAAGAGGAAGCAAGGGGAGAAGCTTCGGGATGTTTTCTACCGGAGTGAGGATATGGAGAAGTACTTAGGAAGTTGATATTTTTGTAATGCTTTATATTACAAGCCCCTCCCCACATCGCCACGCGCGCTGTGCGTAGGAATACTTGAGCGCAGGCCGCGGTTTCTGACAATTCGAAAAAGATATAATCGTTGTATCTTGCCCTTTGTCTTTACTTCTTAGACAAACTTCTGACAACAGAGGCCGATAAGCGTTTAGAGGGTGTATGAGGCCTATCTACTAAGAGTGTTGATTATTAGTGATAACTATAATATGATCCTATAATACTCCAACATAAATAGCTGGGCAAACAGTCACGCCAATGCCAAACAAAAAAAGATAAAAAAAGGAGAATTGCTACAGGTGGAGAATAGATGGTATCGCAAGGAGAAAGCATCATGCTACGGAGCGGAAATGAAAATATAGACGAGGGTATAGCGGTCGCAAAATCGGGAAATGAACATGTAGAACACCAATGTAGAGAAGCTTATAGCTATTTAAAGAACCCGCGTTTCTTCTTTTCCTTGCTCTTTTCCTTTTCCTTTTTAGCAAGTTTTCCGCTAGAAGGTGGTGGAGTTTCAGACGTTGTGGCACTTGAAGTTTCATTTGTTGGCTTCCTCTTTATAGCCTCAGATCCGTTGTTGAGGTTCATTGATGCCATCCCAGTAATTGGAGGGGCTGGTGGTTTGGGTTTAGGGGACGGGTCTCTCTCGAACAGATGAGCCGGAGCCTGTGGTTTAGGGCGGTCACTTGGAAGATCTAGACGTCTCCTATCAACACTAAGATCCCTTATTTGCCGCAAGTATAAACCTGGAGTAAGCATGTGTGAGCTTGCCAGAAAAACATCCTTGTTAGTTTGCTGGGATATCTCATAGCAGCCCCTGGCTTCAGAATATGTTGCACCGCCAGCAATGAATACGATAATCCGTTGGCGGGGGTCACCAGCGACTGGTCGAGTTCGGGCCCAAGTTGGTTTTGCACTTCGGAGGGAGGATTGAGCAACCTGATCATGAGGCGTGCTCTCATCTTCCAGATAAGGCCGTGTATACGGAAATATGGTGTTGTCTAGTGTGCCTTTAATTTGCTCCTGTAGCATCAATTTCACGTTCGTCTCAAAGCGTGATATGCTGACGTCCTCCTCCTGGGGCTGTTGTGGCAATTTCTGTGGGAACAAGGGCTGGTGTGGGGGTTTTGGATCCTTAAGAGGCTTCTCGACCCTTGCACCTAGGAGCTCAAGGTTATAGATAGCTTCACCGTCCTGTGGAGGAAGTTGTGAGTGTGCAAGCAGTTTCTTAATATCCCCTGCGAGGAGTCCACCGCGATAGCACAGATATAACAAAATCAACCTAAGTCGCTCAGAGGGTCCTACAGCTTCATCGTCAAGAAGGCGAACTAACTGCTCTGCAATGTTCTTGGGCTTTTTGAAGTCCTCGTCGACTCCGGTGGCGAGACATTGTTCAACTGCTGCAATATCTGCCAGATTGCGCTCCTGGAAAAGCTGCATTGTCTCTTGAGCCATATTGAGATGGAGGGTATAGGCATTTTTGCCTTGCTGGAAATCTGACAAGCCTGCAAGCATATCCTTGACAGTATTGACTGACGCAGGAAGGTCGCTTGTTCGGCAAATGTTAGGCTTGGGGTTGCAAATAGAGTGGGCGAGGAATAATCACCTACCTGTCGGCAAATTGGGGGTTTTGGGCTCTAAACTTTTTGAAATCTTCTGCGAGCTTTCCAAGGAGGTCTTTCATGTGTAAATGTCGGCTGTTCACCCAAATTTTATCCCCCTCAGTAATCTCCATATCTCTTGTCTCTTCAGTCTCTTGACCTTGGTTCAAGACAGTTCGATATGTTAGTTTATCACCCTCCTGGATTGGAAGGAGGTCATGAGCCATGGCCTGATAGGTAAACTCATGAACCAAAGGCGCAGCAAGGTCCATGGATCGATCGGTGATAAATAACACACCCCTCGGCCGGGAGGTAGGGACAGGATAATCCCTCCGGTGCTTTGCATACTCATCTAATTCGTCTTGCACAAACCGGGCTAGATGGGCGCATAGGACACTTGCTTCATGAGATGCATCCTTAGGCCGGAAGTATCGGATAAGGGGATATTCGTTTAGTGACACACAAACAGAAACAATCTACATAATGTCAGCTGAATGACCGTATAAACGAATTTCAAGAGTAGTATTATAATACCTTTTGCGCTAACTCAACGAGATGACTTCTCACAAGGTTGTTGCACGCAGGATGAAAGAGTGTAAGAAAGCTCCAGGGGTCGCGGAAGATAGCCAGACGTGATTCTCGCGGGAGGAAATTGATGTTCATTACATGCATATTGGCAATGAACTCCCGTGCTGCACTGAAACCGTTGATTCGGTTCCTCATTGCAGGATCAAGATCTAAGACAGGTATTGCATCAGCAATCGATCGAATGCCTCGAGGAGAATTTCCATCTCCATACTTGAAGTCCAAACCAAGAAATATTTTCTGTAACGGCGTCTTTCCAGGTCTGCCATAACGCAGTCAACAACATGAGGAAGCGCAGACAAGATATAAAGGGCATCTGTCTCTTTGTTCATCGGTCGTCGATGTTCGATCTGTTCAATATCTTGTAAGGCGTGTGTGAGCTTATGTGTATATAGAAGAGGGAGTCGGCAATGCGCATACTGGTCACATTCTCATTCAAGATGTCATCTTCTTTGACGGCGTTATCGATCAGTCTTTTGCTACCCTCGTCCACCACAAGCACTTTCCACTATACAGCGTCATCTTAGCCCCGCGTCGTGCTTCATTACTAGATCTCAAGGAGCGCTTACTTCTCTGCCTCCCGCATGACGAATTGTGTCCAGAATAGCTATATGGCAAGAGTTAGCGTACCTATCACTGAATGGTGTTCAGGAAAGGGAGAGACAAAAGACCACCCGGTATAACTCACCCTGGCGCTGAACCTCGATCAAGGAGGTGTCCATATTGTTCCATAAGGAAGCATGAGCCAAAGTAAATCACCTATACGTGCACTTAAGCACCCCTCTCCGGTAGGAAATGACTAGCTCAGATTTATCCGCCGGAGTCGTCGCCTAACGCAGTCGTCAGTCATCCACCGTGGTGTGACTTTTGGTGACCAGCTTGTTTTGTTATTTTCTCCCTTGAGACATTCACTTCCCAGGCTGTTAATATCCCACTCTTTTTCGCCGATCTTGCTCGCTTTTTGGAATAAGCGCGTTTCAAGGACCCGCTTGCTTAGTCACTGCGATTGTAAGGAATATTTAGCCGCGTCACGTGAATACTTTAATCATCACAAACTTTGATGCTTTTTTCTTTGGTCACTGAAGAAAAAGAGAGCTTCTACAAAAGAGATTTTCCTGATGATGACGCTGGATTCTGCATTGGATCCCAGTTTAAACCTTGCTTGCTCCTAATTCCGCTTGAGGGCTGCCCAACAAAACCATTGCGGGGATGCAACCATGGCAGCGCCCGGCTCGAGGTCTTTGCCTTCGTTGCGCTCTGCGCGCGCCAACTACTCCAACAGGACGGAGCTTCAGCGGATCGGTACAGCATAACAGGGCCAGGATCACGGCGTTAAATAGGCCGCTTGAGCAGCTTAGTTTTGACTGGGTAAGCGGTAGGAAAGGTAAAAATGATCAAAAGGAGGGCAGAGACTTCAAGGTGAGCCTTTCCACGCTGTCTCAATTGCTTGAGGTACAAACTAACCATTGTATGCTCCGGATGATAGCCCTGGAAGGCTCAAGGCCCAAGAACCAAGATAAGAAAGGTCGGTCGCGTTTCTTTCGATGAACGGTTCCAGTCCGCATTACTGGAGTCTTCGGACATCGTCAGGAAGGAGCTTGAACAAACAAAGCTAGAACTCGCCCATTGGGATAAATTTTTCGCGTCAATCGTTCATGCTTGCAAGAGCTCTCTTATTGATGACGGTGATGAAGCCCATTTCGGACAGAGATTTACGTTAAGGCGGACGTTCGGGAAGATGGGGCGCGAAGGAATTGTCGATTATCTGAGAAGGCAATACCGGAATCACAAACTTGACACTGCATTCTCCTCTACTGCCACTAAGTCAGACTCGCTAGCGGATTTCAGGTATCCAGCCGAGTGGTACCCGGTTGCCCGGAGCATGCAGCGGAAGATTCACTTACATGTAGGACCTACCAATTCGGGGAAGACGTACCATGCTTTGCAACGATTAGAAAAAGCAAAAAGCGGCTTCTACGGTGGTCCACTACGCCTATTAGCGCATGAAATCTACAGTCGACTCAATAAGAAGGGGATTTCGTGTGCTCTTATCACAGGTGATGAGGTCAGAGTACCAGAAAACGGTCCCGTTAAAGTTTATAGTAACACGGTTGAAATGGTACCCATTGGCCAGGAGGTAGAGGTTGGGGTGATTGATGAAATTCAGATGATAGCCGATCCGCATCGAGGATGGGCCTGGACAAGAGCTGTCCTGGGGTGCCAAGCCCAGGAACTACATCTTTGCGGTGAAGAGAGGGCTGTCCCCCTTATTCAGCGCCTTGTCTCACTAATGGGCGATACCCTGGAGATCCATAACTATAAACGACTGAATCCCCTGAAGACAATGGCATCAAGTCTAAAGGGTGATATCAGACGGTTAGAAAAGGGGGATTGCATTGTTGCCTTCTCTCGGGTTGGGATTCATTCCTTGAAGCAGGAAATTGAAAAAGTTACGGGCCGGAGAGCGGCAATTGTCTATGGGAGCTTGCCGGCAGAGATTCGCGCTCAACAAGCTGATTTATTTAATGACCCTAATAACGATTACGACTTCCTTGTTGCGAGTGACGCTATTGGCATGGGTTTGAACCTGTGAGTTGAGCTTGTCACGTCACAAGGCTGGAGGTTACTAATCGCTACTTTAGGAGCTGTAAGCGAATTATTTTTGAGTCGGTGATAAAAAGGCTACCTACTGGTATCCAGCGACTCTCAATATCTGAGATTAAGCAAATAGGTGGGCGAGCTGGAAGATACCGTAGTGCAGCTCAATCATCCAGCTCCAGAATTGCAAATGAGAAGGAAAATGTTGGCCTTGTTACCTGCCTTGATGAGGCAGATCTTCCCTATATTCGAGCAGCCATGATGGCTGAGGCAGAACCTCTTGATGCTGCTGGAATTCTTCCGTTAGATTCCGTGATTGACAATTACTCTAATATGTTCCCCCCGGACACTCCATTTGGCTACATTTACCAGCGCTTAGAACGTGTGTCTCGCACGGATCCACCATTTTTCATGTGCAAGATCCAAGACACCGAGGCGACCTTTGGCCTCCTTGATAACATCCAGGGTCTTAACGTGATCGATAAAATGGTTTTTATGAGCGCTCCTTTACGGGCTACTGACCCGGTAATGGCACGAGTTATCAAAGCATTTGCGGAATGTGTCGGTCAGCAGAAGAGTGGCAGGTTACTCGATATTCCCGAATTGGACCTTGAGATACTGGATAGGCCTGTCTCAGGCGATGACAAGGAATACCTCCGGTCTCTCGAAGCACTCCATCGTTCCCTCATTCTCTATCTCTGGCTTGGTTACAGATTCGGTGGTGTATTCACAGACCGGACGCTTGCTACTCATGCTAAAGAGATGGCGGAAGTGAAAATGGATCGCACCCTCACTGAATTCTCGGCGAATTCGAAACTACGAAAACAAGCACTCCGAAAGAAACGAATTAAAGGGGCTAAAGACAAATTTCTAGATAGTCCAGAACCGACAGGCGTCATGGACACAATTCCCGATATTCCAGAGCTTGATACCACTCTTTCTGATGAGGACGAGATAGAATTTGAAGACCCCAACTCCGCTCTAGAAAGTACCCACATCAGGGCGCCAGTACCCTTTGCACAGCATACTTCCCCCAGTACACCGTAACATTACCTATTGCTATACTTTACTGGTTACCATCTTCTACTTCTAAAACCCGCGTTCACTTATCCTCCTATTTCAAGAATTTACCACTCCTTGTTCTTGGCATATATTATCATATCCACAAGCTCTGGCAGCTTGATGAACCAGTTCTGATACCCATTTCCATCCCCTCTGCTACCACACCTTCCATCCTCGATTAATCTAGATTCTCCGTTATCACGATAAGCTCTAGATTTGTATTATTATAATTTATATACTCCTACGTCTAGAATATATCATAGGATAACCCAAATAGCACCATTCCAACTCTTTGATTGCTACTGGGGATATGCTTCTAGAGAAACTAGCGTAGCGTACCGAGATATCTTAGTAGCCGCGCCCGGCGCCTAGCGCTTATCGGGAAATTTATTATCCGGATAGCTTCCGCCCTGAAGTCCGTCGGGCCCATTTATCGCAAAATCGCAAAATCTGGAGGATAGACTCAAGATAACAAGGACTAGAGCTGTGTCGTTAGTATCACCAGCATGGATGACCTTGAGTCTCTCGAGCTCTTGTCACTTATTTCGAGGGTAACGACTGAACTGCAAAATCATTTAGGAGTCAACGAAAAGACGCTCGCGGAGTTTGTGATCGACCAGCATCTAAAATGCAAGTCTCTCGACGAATTCAAGAGCTCCCTCAAGGCTGTGGGAGCAGAATTTCCTCAGAGCTTGGTGGAAAGTGTGGACCGCCTAGTCCTAACAATGCATCCTAAATATAAGTCGAAGCGAACCAAGCCGGACGAACAAGAAAAGAAACATATCGGACAAGATGGAGTCGATGACATCGAGAAGAAAGCGAGGGTCTTTAAAGGGCTTGCGGTCCCAGATGATAAAGCTCCCCACTGGGAGGAACATGAGCCTGAACCAGAGCGTAATACAAATGCAGAGGCTATGGATGACACGTTTGCGATGCTAGAAGGTTTGGCTGGCAAAGCTAAAGCGGAACAAAATGGTTACTCGAACAGTCGAAAGCGGAGCAGAAGTCCTGAAATCAACGATTATGATAGAAATCGGCCTCGTCGTGGGAGGTACAAGTCTAGGTCCAGGTCCCGGTCTGGATCACCCAATAGAGATCGGTATGGAAACAGGCATTCTCACAGGATCCGCAAATACCCTGATGAGCCTAGGGAACGAGGACGATCTGGGCGCAATTATAACTATGATGATGATTTAAAGAGACCACCCGCATCCGAACTAGATGATCGGCCTATTCTCTTCAAAATTTATGATGGCAGAGTGACCGGTATCAAGGACTTCGGTGTATTTGTGAACTTGCAAGGGGTCAGGGGTAGAGTTGATGGTTTGGTTCATGTATCTGCGATGCAAGAGGGAGCAAGAGTAAATCATCCATCCGATCTTGTGTCTCGCGGACAGCAAGTCAAGGTCAAGATTGTTTCTATCCAGGATTCAAGGATCGGGTTATCGATGAAAGAAGTTGACCAGGTTTCCGGCCACGACCTGGCACCCCAGAGGCGAATTGCGTCAGGAGCAAATATGGAAAGATTAGATGGAACTGGCGCAGATGATCGATATGGAAACCTAGGGTCCAGCGTACCAGTTATCGAGCGGGATTCCGATGCTAAAAGAAGCAAGAAAAGGCTAAATTCTCCAGAGAGATGGGAAATTAAACAGCTTATTGCATCTGGTGCCGTGTCTGCTGCAGACTACCCTGATTTGGATGAGGAATATCACGCTACGCTAAGAGGAGAGGGAGATTTCGAAGAAGAGGAGGATATTGATATTGAGGTACGTGAAGAAGAACCTCCATTTTTGGCGGGTCAAACCAAACAGTCCCTGGAACTTTCTCCGATTCGTGTCGTTCGAGCACCGGATGGTTCACTTAACCGTGCTGCCATGGCTGGCGCAAATCTCGCAAAGGAAAGGAGAGAGATTAGACAACAAGAAGCCCAAGACAAGGCTGCGGAAAAGGCAGCTCAAGTCGATCTTAACGCACAATGGCAGGATCCGATGGTTGCGCCAGAACAGAGGAAATTCGCGTCAGAGTTGCGCACTGCTACCACTGAAAAGTCATCAGAGTCTTTGCCAGAGTGGAAACGAGCAGCGCAGAATAAAGATGTGTCATATGGGAAGAGGACAAATCTTTCTATGAAAGAACAACGCGAAAGTCTTCCTGTGTTCAAATTCCGCAAACAACTACTCGAAGCTGTTCGGGAAAATCAGTTACTTATTGTCGTCGGTGACACGGGGTCTGGAAAGACGACGCAGGTCACTCAATACCTAGCAGAGGGAGGATTTACAAATAATGGCATGATTGGATGCACGCAACCTCGGCGAGTAGCCGCAGTGTCCGTTGCTAAGCGAGTATCTGAAGAAGTTGGCTGCCAGCTGGGCCAGGAAGTTGGTTATACTATTCGTTTTGAGGATTGCTCTAGTCCTAATACAAAAATCAAGTACATGACTGACGGCATTCTTCAAAGAGAAATCCTTTTGGACCCAGACCTGAAGAAATACTCTGCCATAATGCTTGACGAAGCCCATGAGAGAACTATTGCCACTGACATACTTTTTGGGTTGCTCAAGAAAACTATCAAGAGACGGCCTGATCTTAAGCTCATTGTGACATCAGCTACCCTCGATGCAGACAAATTCTCGGAATACTTTAATGGCTGTCCTATCTTTTCTATACCAGGAAGGACATATCCCGTGGAAATAATGTACTCCAAGGAACCTGAGTCAGACTACTTGGATGCCGCCTTAGTTACAGTGATGCAAATTCACCTCACCGAACCACCCGGGGATATCCTTCTGTTTTTAACTGGTAAGGAGGAGATTGACACTAGCGCGGAGATCTTATATGAAAGAATGAAAGCGTTAGGTCCCAACGTACCCGAACTTGTTATTCTTCCTGTGTATTCCGCTCTTCCAAGCGAAATGCAAAGCAGGATTTTCGAGCCAGCCCCTCCCGGGGGAAGAAAGGTTGTTATTGCGACTAATATCGCGGAAACGTCGATTACAATTGATCAAATATACTACGTTATCGACCCTGGGTTTGTCAAACAAAATGCCTATGATCCAAAGCTGGGAATGGACTCGTTAGTGATAACACCAATTTCACAAGCTCAAGCCAAACAACGAGCTGGTCGTGCTGGGAGAACAGGACCTGGTAAATGTTTTCGATTATATACTGAAGCTGCATATCAATCTGAGATGTTGCCGACATCAATTCCGGATATTCAACGTCAAAACCTTACCCAAACTATTCTTATGCTCAAGGCGATGGGAATTAACGACCTCTTACATTTTGATTTCATGGACCCTCCCCCTACCAACACAATGCTCACTGCTCTTGAGGAGTTATATGCACTCTCTGCTCTTGACGATGAGGGGCTTTTGACTCGCCTCGGTCGGAAGATGGCTGATTTCCCCATGGATCCCGGCCTAGCCAAGGTCCTTATTGCCTCCGTGGATATGGGTTGCTCCGATGAAGTCTTGACTATTGTTGCTATGCTCTCCGTGGCTCAAGGTATCTTCTATCGACCTAAAGAAAAACAACAGCAGGCAGATCAGAAGAAAGCTAAATTTCATGACCCTCATGGTGACCATCTCACCTTGCTAAATGTGTATAACGCATGGAAACAGTCACGATTCAGTACCCCTTGGTGTTTTGAAAACTTTATTCAAGCGCGACAAATCCGTCGAGCCCAGGATGTCCGCCAACAATTAGTTACCATCATGGATCGATACCACCATAAAATCGTATCCTGTGGTAGGGATACTACGAGGGTTCGCCAGGCATTTTGTTCAGGCTTTTTTAGAAATGCTGCTAGAAAAGATCCACAGGAAGGATATAAGACTTTGATTGAAGGCACCCCAGTTTACATGCACCCTAGCTCAGCACTCTTTGGGAAAGCTGCTGAGCATGTCATTTTCGATACCCTTGTCCTCACAACAAAAGAGTACATGCAGTGTGCCACGACAATAGAGCCAAAGGTATGTGATTATCCCTCTCATCCCTATCTCTTATAGCCGGTAGTATGATAATACTAACTCATTTGTTTTAATTAGTGGCTTGTTGAGGCAGCACCGACGTTCTACAAGCAAGCGAGTACCAACAAATTATCAAAGAGGAAAAGAGCTGAACGCATTCAGCCATTACATAACAAATTTGCAGGCGAAGATGACTGGCGACTATCAGCTCAAAGACGACAAGGTCGTGGTGGTGGTGGAGGAACCTGGGGATGACTCCTACATGCCCGGATATTCAAATATCTTTCTCCCCAGGCTACATTGCTTATTCTCTCCCATTTTATTTTTACATTGTTAGCACTGCCGTAACGCTTGTCCCCTCCTCTGCTGTGTTTCTTCCCCCCGAGGCAAATGTACCAATACATACCATATTGAATTAGATAGAGCTTGGCGCATCGTTCCGGTCAGATGCATAACTTGGTGCCGATGCTTAGCAGTGGCATTCCCTTAACAGCAACTATTGCTATCTACAAACCAAGTATCTATTATTTGCCATCCTATACTCTCCAAGTACTTTCAAAAGTTTTAGCGAAAAGTCATCCGGTATAATAGATGAGAGATTGTACTTATTCAATATCAGAAATTGCGTTGTGCTCAGTACCTGCAGGTAAGGAGGCAAATGACAATGATAAAGGCAAATAATAAAACACATGGGGATATTTGATTGTTGAGATATTGATATATATATCAATAATCGGCGTCTGCGAGGCGAAAGAGGTGAATAAGCGCATAGTAAGTTATCGGCATAAGGAGAACAATAAAATCATATCAGCAGGTTAAGATATGGAGAAGAGAAAATCAGCTGAAAGGGTTGAACAAAAGGAAGAGTAATGAAGTGCAGTAAATCGGCACATATAAAAGGCAGAAACAAAAAAAAAAAAAAAATAGTCAGATCATCGGACATTCAGAGGCATGCAGCAAGAGTAAGAGTTCATAACAGGACCTATACGAGATTGCAGACCAGCCCCGACCCGTGTATCACAAAGGAGAAACAAAGAACGTTGAAAGGAGAAGGCAGAAATGACCAAGCAGGCGCATCAAAACATCAATAGCTATACAGCCAGATGAATATGAGTATATCCAACTAAAGAAGAGAGGTAGAAGAAGAAAAGTGAAAGGAGGTTTGAGCCCGTATAATAGCCCGGAAAATCCAGAGCATTTGAATTGAAAAGTAGTTTTGTGTTTCTAATCTGTGAAGTAGGCTCAGCGATATGGGGGGCCCATCATACCGGAGCCATTTCGATTTCCCATACCTCCGTCTCCTGGTCCCCCACCATGTCCCGTGAACATTTCAAGTAACTGTCGGGATGATGGTTGATGGCCTCCTACACCTGGTTGCGGCCCTGCGCCGAAGTGGGCGGGGTGGCCATGAGAAAGGCCCATCATACCCTCAGGATTATGAGGCATAGGGGGGAATGCCAAAGGAGGAGGGGGGTTCATAGCCATATATCCTGGAGGTGGAACAATACCAGGTGGAGGACCAAAGTTGGAGGGGCCAGCGGCTCCAGGGCCTCGCTGGAAGGCTTGCCTATCGTTAAGGGGAGGTATGCCCCCTGGCATTGGCATCTGCTGAACGGGTGGGTAACTCTGGTTAAGATTTCGATTCGGAGGTGGGTTAGGCATTCCTGGACGTCCGATAAATTGAGCAGATGGCCCTTGCTGCAGCTGCTGGGGATTTGGCCATCCTCCCGGAGAAGTAACCTGTTCGAGGCCTGGTGGGCGCTGGATGTTCATTGATGGTTGAACAGCAGACTGAGTAGTGCGAAGGCCAGGAGGGTTAGCAGGAGTGTGACTTCCGCTTGAAGGGCCTTGGAATTGCATTTCGTCATAATAACCAGGAGGGCCCCCCGTGGCTCGACGGCGAAGTTGACTTCGAGGATCATTTGGATCTGGACGTTGCATATTTGCAATTGCAGGGTCATCGAAGAAAAGTGGGCTTTTCTGTTTTGGTATCTCGTGGTTCCTAGGTTGGATGTCGGGCATATTTTGAGCACCAGGGTTTTGTAGTTGTGTCTGGGCTGGCATCTGGCCTTGGTGAGATTGACCAATTTTTGCTTGCTGCATTAAACGAAGTAGAAGATTGGAATCAAAGGGAGATGGTTGGGATTCCTTTGGAGCCTTTTGCGCAATGAGTTGCTCAAGCCCATGGGCTGTCTGCTCGCGATGAGGCTCGGAATAGCCCATATAAGGCTGCCTATTCATAACATCATGATGCGGCGACGCGGTAGGAGCAGGTATATGGCTAAATTCTTGCTGGATTTGCTGGGGTGGAGTTGGCTTTGGCCGCATCATTTCTTCAGCTTGAGGTGTGGAGTTTCTAGACTTATTACCACCAAGGAGCTGTAAGATCCGCTGAAAGCCTTCTTGATCGGCATCAGTCGATACTGGACGTGGTTGAGAAACTGTAGCCTCGGCTTCTTTAGGGGTTGCTTCAGTAGGAGAATTGAAAAACCCGGCAAACCTGGAGGACTTTGCTGGCTTTGCAGCTTGAGGCTCCTTCGTGGCAGATCCAGCAGCAACATTACCATATCCTGGGTCCTGGGTAGACTTAGAGCCTCCCCAAGGCCCAAAAAAGTCATCAAACCCAACATCAGCTTTATATGCTGGTTCAAGACTTGAAAAAATCTCTCCGTCCGTTCGCTTTATTTCAGTTGGTTTCGTCTCAACGCTACTGCTAGCCTCTGGAGCCTTCTTCTTCGTTTCATCCGATGGCGGAGCACCGCCTGATTTCATCCTCTCTTTCCATCTTTGGAAGTCTTCCTGGGTATGGGCTTCTTTGTGGTCTGATTTATTAGACGAATCCATCCATTCAGGGTCTTGTTCATGCTTTGTAGACCGGTTCCAGTCTCTGTCTCTGTCTCTATCCCTATCCTGGCCTTGCACACCACGACGCCACTCTCGGTTTCGTATAGGAGTTTTGTCGTCTTCCTGCTCAGCATTCTCCTGGGAATCACCATCACGAAACCATGAGGGATGGTCGTGACGACTTTTACCTTGGACATCCCTCCGATTAGGGTATTTGCCTTGCTCACCACGATGGCCACGTTCATTTCCAGCTTCCTGTTGGTCACGGTGCTCTCTAAATTCTCTGCTATCCCATCTGTCTCCCTCTCGTTTAACTCTCCTGTCAACAGTTTCTTCCTGGCCGAAGGTGCGTCTAGACCGGGTCCCCCAATCATCTTTATCATCACGTCCACTTCTTCGGCCATTTGTGATATGAGATTTGGAGTCCCGCTTGTCAAGGTCTCTGTCTCTATCACCCGAGTCCTTATCCTTCAGGAATTTGTCACGGTGTGGAAAACGGTCGGACTTGGTGCCATCACCATCGGGAGATTTCAAGCTATTATACCTATCGGGATCACTAAATTTACCGAAGCCTCTCGTCGAAGAAGAAAATGATGTTTTAGGAGGTCCTAGTATGATGTCTTCTAGAATATATGGTTAATATCAGTAAGGCGGGGGTTCGGTTCAGTGACAGCATGACTTACCCGAATTCGAGGAACGAGATATATGACGCGGCTCAAAGAAACTTGACCTACGTGCTGAAGCAGTAGACTCGGTCTGGTTTGTTTGTTCTTTAGAGGCAGTATGTTTCTTCTGTGTAGATGCATCCACAAGCGGTCTGTGGGTTGGCAGATAACCATTAGCATTATTCAACTAGGGTAATATAAGAGAGGAGTAAGGAACACAGTGAATACATACCCCATCCATTCTTCTATCGGAGGCAAGCTATCTGGTTTTACCACTAAAGGCGACTCCCGCAGGTGTAAAAGCTCCTCCTGTGAATATCTGCGTGCCATGAGAGAGTATATTGGCTAACCAAGCCGCATGGCCCAAACTCTGGTGGAATATTAGGAAAATAGCGAGCGCGTAACAAAGCTGAGGGTGATCGGGAGGGCTTTGGGGACTCTGATCTTGTTCAACCGGTCTCCTTGATATTGCGGTTGAATGGAGAGAAGTGCTGTCAATTCGTGGCAAGGGTTGCTGGTTGGGATGTGGTCGAAGCTAAAGGTATGGTGGGTCTGTGGAAGAGTTGAGGGCGCTCAGGGGGGATCTATCGGAGTTCTTCTTCGACGTAGACTTGGGATCGAGGCCAGGAGCAGGATGCGTAGGAAGGCGGTTTGTATTGATCAATGGCTGTGCTGGGTTGGCTGTGTATTTAGAGGTTGGAGACGCAAATGGGCGAATTTTCTGTGATGGAGAAAAAAAGATACAAAGCGGTCGCTAGCTTTAGAGTTTTCCTCTCTGTGCACCACCACCACCACCACCGCCAAAGTCGGGCCAGCCTATCAAGCCGCCAGAGAAGACGATGAGAGAGGATTGTATATCGATACGGAGATCATAGACGTATGGGATCATAGACGTATGGGATCATAGACGTATGGGATCATAGACGTATGGGATTTCAATGGAATAATATATTATTTATTTATCTACTTTTGCTGTCGGTCCTGCCAATAGGTGCCACGGTAGGCGGCAGCCTGGACGCATCAGCACGCCCACTGCTGTACGCTCGAAGCCCCTGTCGACATAACAGCCGCTGCCAACGCAGAGCCACTCCAGCGATTAACCCATTCGCTGGAACTTGTACGGTACAGCTCTGTTGCAAGGGCTCGCAGTGTGCTGCTGTGGGCGTCAGATATCGCTGCCTGGCCTTGCACCCAACTGAGGGCAGCAGCCCGAGTGATCAGTGTCGTGCTGCCCCCGATTTCACAAACACGATATACCAAGTGAAGTACTTTCTTCCGCAGTCCTCCCGTTAATGAGGGGGAACTATACAGGGAGAACAGCCGCTCAAAGACGCCGGCTCGTCGATATATGTCCATGTCCTAGCATATAGTCAGCTACTTAACAGAAGGATGTTCCCAGGTTTGCATAACTCACCAGTTCAGATTTAAGCCCGCAAACAAATAAATCTAGCAGCCAGCCAATTTCTTCACGGTTGCCATCATCGCTCTCTGGCTCGTGGTAGAGTATTTTATCAATCCAATACGAGGGGATCTTCCCAACCTCCCACTGAGGGCTCCTGTTCAGGAAAGTGTTGATCTTTCCGTATAACTTGTGACTAGGATTCGTGAGAATGGCGAACATGCGAACCGCTAGTTCTCCAACAATAAAAGGTGCCGGTGTGTCAAGGCCTAGTCCCTTCACCGTTTCCAATAATTCGCCAACGAGTACGTATATTGTCCGACGCTCTTCAAACGAGGATTCCTGCTCGGTTTACGAAAGTTAGAAAAAATAACCCGCCTCTCATAACTCTAGCGAGAAAGAACGAACCTTGAGTTTTGCCATGAAGCGTGATAAACCAGCCATAGCTTGACGCCGAACTTCTTCATGCTCAGAGCAGACGCAAAGTATGAGATTTCCAATGTACCCTTGGTCTATTGCTAGTTCAAGGTCTTCTCTTTCCCATTCGTACAAGCCAGCATGAGTCTCATCAGCCATCTGCATTTTACCGAAAACATCTGAAAGGTTCACTTCTTGGGTAGCTGATGACGATGGAAGGGTTCTAGTACCACCCATTCGAGCCTCTTCAGCCAGAACAAGCCGGTGCGCTTCTGTACCATGATCAAAAGCCTTTTTAAGCAACGAGCGGCTCTTTTTCACCTTAGTTTCGATCAAAATCGTGTCACGGACGGAGGTAAGTGCATTCTTATCTTCTCCGTACTCCATCAAATAACCAAGTAATTTGGAAATCCATGAAGCCGTGAAAAGCTCGTTCATCTCATCTTGCGCTTTCACGATAAAGGGCCATTGTTCCGAAATCACTACCAAAATTGGACTTATCAATGATGACTTGCTAGGTAATGAGCTCACTTGGTCAAGATATGGGACTGGCCGTTTCGCGAGTCTTGTAAGGCAATTATCAATGAAAGACCAGGGCACAGGAGTATTCTCATCTTCCAACTGAATACTAAGCACCAGGGCTTCGAATGAACCTGGTTGTATCAAGATTGAATCCTGCGTCAAGACATCTTGTAGAAGGGAGTTAATTTTGGCCCGGGCGCTATGTTCCTGTTTTTCCACAGCAACTTTTAGCACTGAGGTAAATACCGATAAGGTCAAGGGTGCTAGATGTCAAATAAGTATGTCAGTCTGTCTCATCAGTAGACCTCCCAGTAAGAAGCAACTCACCTGGCTTTTGCCACCAGCGCATAGCAGGTGAATGTTGAGAAATTGTTAGGATGTGCTGCAATTGGCTGAATAATAACTGGCGGTTTTCCGTAGATAACTCGTCATTGCTCAGTTGGTCCAGGACTTCAACTAAGACCAATGACACGTCAAACTTTTGTTCAAAAGCTACAGTTGGAGCGACTTGGTAATATAAGGAAAGCAGCTCTAAAAGCGCATCTCGTTGCAGCAGGTCATCCTTCGGGGATTGACGGAAGGCGATAATGGTGTCTTTCATCGTAGGACATCTGGAAGTGAACTCATTCATAAGCTTTGTAGATGCCTGACTCCAGAGTTCCGGATTTGAACTTCCCATGGAGTCAAACATTTTTAGCACGCCTCGAAGTTTTCGAAGAGCCGCTGTTGTTGCCTTGATCGCAAACAACGTAACAATTTCAGTGTTCTGATTTATACAGCGGGTCAACATTTGTTGTGTAAGAGGGCGCGGGAGGATGCTCTCGATAGCAACAGATACCGGAGGAGGTACAGTAGGAGAACCTTCCCTGAAACCGCATTTTTGAGGTACCGGCAGCTGGATAGTAGAGAATAAAAAGGCGGACTCTCCAAGCCAGGCCTGTGTCGGCTTCGGGTCAGAATTGAACATATTGCGCTTCGAAAAGTAATCATATACAAGCTCAGGAGCAGCTTGGAAAATTTTCAGGAGCAACTGCATCTGTCGAGTGTCTGATTCGGGGCGAAGAAACTGAATCAAAGTTGAAAGGTTTCCATTACGAATTGGTATTGGTTCGTTGAATTTGTCGAAGTGGCTTGGTGCATCAAGTCCAAGAGAGATCGTTTCATTATCGTTGATCAGTGGTTCTGTACTGTTGCCTGACGAGTACCAACCATTATCTGATAATAACACACCCTTTTCGACGTTTGTGCAAACAGACAATAAAAATTTGTGTATTTCATCAGAAACAGACACACCTTCCGGTATAATTTCCTCGGAGTCCTTTTCGTACCCATAGAGAGTTGCAAATCGTTCCAGGTTCCACCGACTTAAGAGGCGGCTCTTGACATTGCGCGAGAGAACAGCATCCGATACAACGAACTTATCCAATGTCTTGATAATGTCCACAACTATGTCCCCTGAATCTCGCTTGATATCCTCAATGAATACCTTTATAAGTTTCCCCTGACTCAACAGCTCAGCTTTAGCTGCAGGGCTTTGATATCTTAAATTTGCAAGCAAGTAGCGCTGGGCAATACGGCGTAGCGTGGGTTTACGTCGATCCGCAGTTATTTTCCCCACCTGTAACTTACGCATGGTAAGGAACACATCGAGCCTTTTCAGCGTGATATCTCGTTTAGCATAGACTACCTTTGCAACAGCCCCACCATCAAAGCTCACGATCTCAGTCAGAAGCCTAAGACAAGGAGATATCAGATGCTCTTTTGACTTGCTTGCAGTAAGGCCACGGTTAAAAAGTTTGATGTTTTCATTGGATAGCAAGTATTTGCTAAGCTCAATTGAAAATTCTCTGAACTCGAGATGGGAAGAAACGGTTTTCAGGAAGGATGCGAGAACCGAGGGTATAAGCGAAAGTGTCGACTCTTCATTATTGCTCTCTGCAAAGTTCCAAATGCTAACAAGATCAGTGAAACAAATCGGGGGAGTTTCGTCTCCTCTTTTGACATATTGAGAAGCGCAATATTTTTCTAAGACTTGAAGCTTCTTTGACTTTTCAGATTCGGAGATGTCCCCATGAATGGAAGCTAAAAATTCTTTAAATTGACGAATCCCTATATCAGTTTGTTAGGTTAATCAATATTACGCATCATAGGCAGAAATGTCAGCACCTACCTTGCTTTGTTTGCTGTGATATGTTTTGCTGGAACCTCAAAATATCTCTTAATTGCTGGTAGGAGGTAATTTCGGCAGTTACAGGAAAAGTAGCATCACCTTCAATCTTTCTCCGTTTAGCCCGGGCGGCATTATCGTCGAAACTAGCCATTGTGAGTGCGCCGGCTTCTTTCTCATAGGATTGATTGATATCTCATCTTCAAAACTATGCGTAAAAAAAAAAATGTAAAAACTAAATGTGTCACGTGATAGAAGCAAACATGGATCCATTTAACTCCGAGATATCTCCAGCGACATTGAGCCAAACACCGGCCCATTTGGGGCAAAGTGGAAAAGCAATGATAGAAGGGAAAGTGGTTCATGGATTTCGCGAATTATCTGATGGTATAACTTTTTACTATACAAGGATTTATTTTTTGGTCTTTGCCTTCACCTTTTGAACAAGCTTGCTGATAGCTTCTCCATCGTCTACCACGGTTAGACTTGACTTGCTTTTCTTACTCCTTTTCAATTTCTCACCGGATTTCTCTTGACTGGGACCCGTATCATCGACATGGCGTCTTCGCTTTCGACCTTCTTCAAGTAGCAGGTTCATACCCGTTGTTTGTTTAAACCTGGGGTTGGTCGGGTCAATGGCGTATTCATGGCTTTCAAAGAGGCTTTGGAATCTAGGGTCCTTGACGTTAATCTCAAAATTATCCACAGGCGTAGTTTCGACAGCACCCTTCTTTCCCTTTCTATGTTTGCTGCTCTTTCGAGCCCGTTTCTCAGCCTTTTCAATCTCATTCATATCAAAGTGTGAAATGGGTGTTGACTTTTCGTCATCCATCATGAGGAGTTCAAGTTCAGCTCTCTTGGATGAGGATGCCTCTTCCTCGGCTCTGCGCTGTTCCTGCAGTTTTTTCCTGTCTTCCTTGCGCTGTTTGGCTGCCTTCACAGCGTCAAGCTCAGGTGCAGTAAAGAAAGGGTCATCAAAGCCAAGATCCTCTTCAGCTTCCTTAGTTTCTTTTCTATCTGTTCCATCGCCCTCTCCCTTCAAATCTCCTTCGCCCAATCTGCCAGCCTTTAGCTTAGCCTTTCTTCGTTGTTTTCTCTCTCGTTCCTTTCGCACATATTTTTCCCTTGTGGTCTCTTCCTTCTCAGGTTCGTTCTCAAATACTGTGTCCCTTGCGGGGGCGGCCGTCAGTCCAGCCGAAAATGTGACTTCCATTTCCCCAACTGGCTTTGCTTCCTTTTTGCTTGCTGCAGGTTTATCACCGAGACCAAGCAAAGCTCTGACCCTTGCACGTTCTGCCTCTTTTTTGCTCAGCTTGGGTGCGGCTCCAGCTCCCGCCGCGTCCGCAGCTTCAGCTTCATCCTCTTCGTTCTCCGAGCTATCACTACCGAGATATGCTTTGAGGTCATTTTCATCAATCTCCTTTCTACTTCCCTTGAAAGCTCTTTCCTGGGCGTCTTTTCTAGCCCGATCATCCGCATCCCAAGTCAATTTAACCTTGCTGTGTTGTAAAGCATCTGTGACGAAGTCACTAGGTTGATAATCATCTGGTAGTTTCACACACTCATCTCTGGGAATGTCATCTGTGAAGTCGGTGGAATCAGGGACGAATCGAAGGTCAAAGAAATTCGCGCTACTCATGTACTCTGTTCCATCCACAGCGTCGTATATATGTTTGGCCACCTCCTTGGATGAACATGTTAAAATAGCATAGAAATATCGGAGCCTTTCGAGTTGGTATTGCCGTAGCTTCCCAGCGTCAAAGTCGTCCCCGTCTCCTTCAACTAGGAGAGATCTTTTAATCCTTTCCTCCTCTTTCTCTTCATCTTGCTCGTCTGATAAAGAGTCCTCATCCTGGGGTTTAGCATTGTGAGAAAATATATCCTTCGGTGGCCCATCCATTTCTTCCCTTTCCATCCTTTCGCGCCCAAATTCGCTTGGATATATTGACACTTTCCGGATAACACCACCGGGAGGGAGAAAACTGGTGAATACAGCCATAAGGTCCTGGGACTTGATATTATCCCAGTCAAGATTCACAATAGCTATCCTTTCCGTATATTCTCCCGTAGGGATGTCAGCATCCCGTTGGCCGGGGCCGGGAATCTCCATTTCCATGTTGCCCACAATATCTTCCTCTTCCTCTTCATCACTGGAGCTCTCATCAGAAGAGGATGAGTCGAATCCGCCATCACGAGCCGGGTCATAGCCTGCCCTTTCCACCCTACGTAGCTCCTTTTGTACTTCTTCATCATCATCAACACTGATATATTCCTCTTCGGAATCTTTATCTTTCTCCTCCTGGTCATCCTCATTATCAACCCGGTAAAATTTCTCTAACTGTTTCCGCGTATCATCCCGAGCCAGCTTTCTTCCGTATCTGTCAACTGGAGCATTCTTGGAAAAATCTGAGTCGCGCAGCATGTGCGAAAAGCGTTTATCAAGTTTGACATGAGTGTGCTTCTTGCTCGGCAGCCGATATCTGGGGTCAGATTGGATGTTTGCGAATCGAGGATCAGCTATATCTTAGTTAGATAGGATATCCATACAAAGTAGAGCATACGTATTAATTTGAAGCTCTTACATATAACATTGGCGGAGCTTTGGCCGGAGGATCTCGCCTTCTTCTTTCTAGAAGCCATCTTCTCCCCGTTGTACTGGTATGCCACTTTCTAACAGATAAACTGTGATTCTCGGCAGCACTGCAATAGTTGAGAGGAAGCCGTTGCTTTAATTGTCATCCAGGGTGCTGATAATCTGTGGGGATTTAAGGAATTTTTTTTCTCAAACTTAAATGTGATCTGTGCAGGATCTGATAAGATAACCACCTTGGCTTAAGCGCCCTCCAATCAGGCACCTGCAATCAGTATTAAAAGTACCGAGATACAGTTCTAGGACAAAAGTATTTTGATATGTATATATATAGTAGAAAACACTTTATTATATATATAAGGAAGGATATAATGGTTTCGAGAGAAGATAGTTTGGTTCACTCGGAAGAATCTAAATCGTGAGAAAGAGCCCAAGCGAGCTTGGTAGCTTGAAGCAGGACGCAACTAAGGTAGAAGAAGCATAACCAGTAGATGGACTGTGATGCCATCCTACGTAGTAACTACTTGGAGTAATCCTCACTTTGTAATGTAGCAAAAAGATTATAGATCTAAAAGCGTCTACTACCAATGATAGCTAGCAGTAATGCGATGGGGCCAATCCTAGATCTTGATTCAAAATGATGAGGTATTCTAATAATTCAGGGATTCTCAGATTCTCAAATTCTCAGATTGAGGTTTACCTCCATCCCTCCTCCTTGGGATTAGTGTTTCCTCTACAGTACCCACCTGCTCTATATAAAAATGCTGGTAATACATAAAACGCCATCCTTAGGAAAGTCTTTTTTACTACATAGTTAAAAAATACAAATATATAAATGCTGAGTCTTGTCCAAATTGAATAAAATTATAAAGCAAGGAGCGAAATCGTTAGGTCTTAACCCAAGCCACTACGCCCCCGTCCCTAGCTGCTGCGATTGTCCATACATCCAGATCATCGCTAACATTCTCCAAACAGGCCAACGCCATAGATTTCATGAGGAAAAATAAAAAATAGAAAATTAAACCTAAATCTCGTCGTCAAATACTCTCGCAGCCAGCGAGCCAAATAGCACTATTTCCATGAATGGTGGATCTACAACGGATAGTTTCCCCAGAACAATAATCACAACACAAAGTAACTTTCTGGATTAGAAGGAAAGACGGCGGTCGATAGAGGGCTTTTTGTCACGCATATTGTAGTAACTGGCCTGTTTTGCAAGGCCTCGCTGGATATGCTTCACCACAAGATCTGGGGTCGTTAGTGTCAGATGGAAACAGCGTGTAGTGGTGGGTAGAGGTCAGCCTACCGATTGCTATTTTATTTTCAATACCTCGAGGAATAATTATATCTATGACAGACATTAATAATATAATCTTGGTCGTTGAGGAATCTAAGTACCTGAGATAATCCTTTGAGGCTCAACATATCTAGTATAAGATGGTTTCACAAATTTAAACCACTGTTTCAATATACTATCGATGGTTCTTCCCCGTTCACGAACGTCTCGTGCAACTGGGCGGATTTTACATCAGTGCCCGGAGTCTGAATGAGATATCAAAAAAGGAGTATCTGAGTACTTACTTCTCCGCCCCAAACAAACGTCCATGTCTGCTTCAACAAATATCTATCATCATACCATTAACAATGTGTTCAATAATATACACATGAGCTGATGAATACCTTTAGATCCAAAAGTTCCAGTATTCTTGGATCGGTGAAGGCCAGTATACCCTCGAGGATCAAAACTCGCGGGGGATGCATCGGGGTCGTTTCAGGTTCGCGTTGATGTTTCTTGAACGAGTAAATGGGTATATCGACTTTGAGGCTGTAAGGACATTAGACATGGTGTTATGCGATCCTATACTGAATCAACGTATAGGTACCCTTTCTTTAGGTCTCGCAATAGTTTAACAAGGACGTCAAAGTCTATTGCAAGAGGAGAGTCAAAGTCGTATTCGTCTGCATGTGCGATAGCATTCTCCTCAGGCGTGAGTGTCTTATAGAACGAGTCCTTTCCGTATGTAAAGTCAGATATAACTGTTCCAACCATAGTTTTGTGGCAGCTCCCGTCCCCGAAGTGAAAATACCATGACCAAGATGGAGGCTCCCGGGAGATCAAGCAAGTTAATAATTTCCTGGGACACGGAAGACTTGCCAGAGCCGGAGCTACCAGCAACACCGACAATGATCATCGGCTCCCAGGGGCAGTGATACCGGGTATTCTGCCGGCTCATCGTGAAGTGTCGAAATTCCGACTCAAGCATGTTGGTATCGTGGTATATATATATATATATATAAAAGAAAGAAAAAATATATGAAAATAGCAGTATAGCGTCCTATCCAAGGCGATATAGTAATAGTTGGGCTTGGAACATGCCCTAACAAGACTACCACAAGGCTATAGGTACTCTCAATATAGGCGTCAAAAGTTCGATATGGGTAACACATACCACAAGCAAACGCCGGTCTCCAGGGCCACGACGCTATTTACATATCAGCACCCCATACGCATATATAAGAATAGCCAGGACAGAAAGAAAAAGTACCAGGAAGAACGCAGCTTTTTGCCTGGGTGTCTTTTTCTCTCTCGCTGCTCCTCGTCTGTGTAAAAAGAAGCTCGCGGGTGGAGCCTCTTCTTCCTGCTGAACACGCGACCAGCAAATGACCAGTCACATGACCACGCTAGGGCCCAGGGCTTTGTCAGCCGAAGTACAAAAGGCAGAAACTTCTTTTCAACCTCCGACTTCCTCTTCCTCTCGTCAACCGCATCATCAGCGCCTCTGCTTCCGGTGACCTGTTCCACCCACTCCCTCTCTCATGGAACGGCGATGGTCAGATACACGGGCTGAGGAATAGACCAACATAGGTTTACACGCCCTCTCTGCTCTTCTGGAGACCGTTGAAAAGCTGGTGACAATGGCCTCTGCGAATCTCGTATGTGGAGCGAGTTCTCTCTCTTTCAAAGGCTCACCACGGAGAGATTACTAAAGTGTTTAGATGTCACCAACTCCCTCCACGGCCACTCCAACATGGTCGAACTTCGAGAAGAAGATGGAGGAGCATAAACCGTCCAAAATGTGAGTTTCTTCCTTCCCTGACCCTCCGGTGCAATCCTTCCTGGATGTCCAACCACGTCGATTCTATGATGAGTAAAAACTCAAGTTGGGAATCTCTCCGAAAATCTCGTGTAGGAAAAAAAAAAAAAAACTTGTTGCCTGAGCTGAAACATCGATCTCCACTATTTTTGTGTGTATTTATTTGGCAAGTTCGTTAATAGATACGCTTCTTCAGGGACATCAATTACCTAGTAATGGACTATCTTGTCACGAACGGATACCCATCAGCAGCAAATAAATTTGCGGCAGAGGCAAATATCCCACAGCGTCATGATTCTGACACGGTACAAGAGCGCGTCGAGATTCGAAATGCGATTTACTCAGGCAATATCCAGTCAGCAATCGAAAAGCTCAATGAGCTCAACCCCCAGGTAATTCCTCTCCGCTCTAGTTATATGTCTTTTCTCCTTCCACATGATTAGACGATGTTTCATGCACCACGCATAATGACCCTTTTATAAGGGCATTGATGAAACCTACTCATCTTCAGTCCTCAGTATGATTCTTTGGGAATATTCATTTATTGTGCAAGCAAGGTCGCCTTTATTCAATCTGTTGCTAATGATATGTTTAACAGCTGCTTGATGACAAGCCCGAGCTCCATTTCTCTTTACTACGCCTCCAGCTCATTGAGTTAATACGCAACTGTATAAATACCCCAAATGCCGATATCACACCGGCTCTAGATTTTGCTACTTCACAGTTGGCTCCTCGAGCTCCGACAGCACCCCAGTTCATCAAGGAGCTCGAGGAAACCATGTCATTACTAATCTTTTCTCCGGAAAATCTCTCAGCTCCATTGAATGAACTTCTTGATCCTGCTATGCGTAAAACCGTTGCAGCAAAGGTTAACGAAGCCATCCTCCAAAGACAAGGCTCGGTAAGTGAAGCTAGACTTCGTGCTCTTGTCAAACTTCGCGTTTGGTCTGAAAAAATGGCCAGAAAGTCCAAGAAGGATATTCCAGACAAATTGGATATCGGGTTTGATAACGACGCCACCAATGGCAATGAAACCAACGGTTCTGCCAGTCAGGATGATGTTGTCATGCAAGAGCGTGGCGACCTTGACTCGATGGTTCATTAAACTTTCAGTAATGTCCAACTTGTGCCTGTGTGGCCCGTTTAATCATTATTCCAATCGCTTAGCATGGCGCAAGGGTTTTATTTCGGAGCGGGTCTTGAATTTTCTCCACCCACAAAGGGATATTATTAGCTTCTTTAACACGTTTCGGTGTATTTTAAAAGGCGTGATTCAGCATTGACGGTAATATCATGAAACGTTCTCAATAATATTACTCTGCTTTCATTAGTCGCTGTAAGGTATCTCACCGAGGTATTGTCTTTAGTGAATGCTTATTTTCTCTTCCACCCTCTTCCAAGTAGACAAATGGCGAGTGTATGCTCCTGTCTGCTGCTTCCAAGTGTGTAAACATCCATCTTTGCTTTGAGTAATATAAACCGTTCACAAGTATCAACATTCTGGAGTACTTTCCAAGGTATCCAGACAAGCGGAATAAGTAGTTATGCAGCAATTTAAGGCAGGAATTCGGCTAGTGATAGACGAAGATTGGGAATCAATCATGGAAGAGGAAAGCATAATAAGGCAAACAAGTGAGATAGATACAAAAAAGCAAATGCAGAGAACCAATGAGATTGGATGTCAAAGAGATAAAACTAAAAAATAAAAAAAGGGAAATAAATAAACATCATGGAGAAGTGAGGTCAAACAGATAAATCTAAGTTGGATGGAGTATGGAGTAACAAAATGGTATTATCCAGATAAATAGGAAAACATCTAAGTGAGCGGCTCGGTCAGAAGTGCAGAAATGCAATGCGCTTAGCGTGATAATTAGAAATTCATCATATCTAGAAACACTGTTAGCCTGGTAGCCATGATTGTCGAGCTAGGAAATCATACCTCTTCCAAATAGAGCTCGTTTAGCCCAGTCCATGGCCATCATGACTCTGGTCCTGATGCTAACACTCTGAGCAAAATAAATACTTCGCCACAAATACACGGCGAGTAAGCCTCCTCCGAAGCTGAGACCATTTATATCGAATACAGCAGCGTTACCAATGTATGCCAAACTGCCGAGATGCTTGTATTCAAAGGCTCGATAAACGCTTTCATCAAGGCTTTCAAAATTGACTTCATTAGAACGCATTCCAGGGACGGCAAGGGCAATTTTATTGAACTTGCGACCGAGATAGTGTCCTTGCTGATTAGCTCGCTGGGCGGTTGCAGGGAGAGAAGTAAGTTTCGAGTCGATTTGAACGAGCAGCTCGTGCAATTCATGGAAGTCGAGGGTACCACTCCGGTCAATATCGTATTGTTCAAATAGCTTGTCAAGTCTTCTGAGATGGTTTGAGGCTTGCGGGAAGCGCTTCTTCACACGCTGGGCTACATCACGCCATTCTCCAAAAGTGAGATGAATTTTCTGGGGGTCACGACCTTTCTCCCAGGCAATTTCACGTAAGAAGGATAGGATGTGGTCAGCAACGTTATTCTGTACAGTGGAACAATCTCCAATAGCATATACTTCTCCCCGTGGAGCTCCAAGTAGTCGAAGATGGGTATCGGTCTCTAGAGCGTGCTTATTGTTTTGGCCTTCTAGCTTCTTGGATAGCTTTCGGCACAGTTCTGCTTGGGCTACAAATTGTTAATTGCAAGTTGTTTATAGAGCATCAGCCATCATGGTAAAACTCACCAACTCCAGTTGACCATAAGCAAAAGCCCATTGGAATCTCCTTAACAACTGGCTTCCCATCTTCCATTTGAGTGAAAAGGATTTTATCGGACTGAACTTCCTTGACTCTTGAATTGGTAAGCACGTTGACTTGATCGTGAGCGAACCGTCGCTAGAAAAGTCAGTATAGCTACGATGCAACCAAACATCGAACAAGCCACATACCTCGGCATAAAGGGACAAAGTTTCATCGTAAGTATTGAGAATATGGCTTCTGCTCTGGATAAGATGGACAGAAATCTCGTTTCTCAAAATCCTAGGGAACGATCTGAACAAATCTTCATTTAACATGTCAAAGAGTTCGGCAGCGAATTCGACACCAGTTGGGCCTCCTCCGCATACAACGAAGGATAAAAGACGTTTCCGTTCCTCGTCACTAGTGGTAGGAAGGCAGGCTACTTCCAAGTTTCGAAGGACCTTTGCTTTAATCTGACGAGCATCGTCAATCGATTTCAAAAAGTTGCAGTGTTCAAGACCTTTGACACCGTGCTGATTGGTTGTAGAGCCTGGCAAAGATAAGTATTGAGATCAAAAGGGAGGAGGGCTCCGAAAGACCTACCAACTCCGATAACCAGTTTATCATACGGCAGATAGAAATTCTTTCTGTTCCCATCGCAGTCAACTTGAGATATTTCAACAAGTTTCTCGTCAAAGTCTACGTCCACCGCCTCGGCTCGAAGGAAATGTCCCCGAAGCCTCTGTACAACCAGCCTGATCGGCTCTACCAACGAGCTAAGTCCGAGGGTTCCTACCGTTGCTGAAGGGAGCATTGGAGTAAAGAGGAAGTAGTTTACAGGGGAGACAACGGTGACATGGTAGTCTCCAGGATTCAAACTCTTCATCAACGCCACGCTTCCCCATCCGGTACCAAGGATAACGAGTTTTGGCTTATCTTTTTGCTCCAGCTTCATGTCGCAATCGTGATCGTCCACGAGAACTTCGGCAATTGGAAGGTTCTTTGGGCCGCCCCGTCTTGGGTTAAGTGCGTTCTGCGAGACAGGGATATCGACGTTGTCTGGGTCCGTACGGTAGGTGGTGGCATCATAGACGAAAAACGCAAACACAAGACCAAAGCCGAAGAGCATCACACCTCCGCTGAAGGCCAAGACCCTGAACCCAAAGCGTAATATCCGGCTACGGCGTACTTCCTTCGTGACCTTGGAGGCTCCTGGGCCTTCTTCGGTGGTTAATGAGCGACATTGCGATCCCAAGGTGGACGGTCGGGAGGTTCGGAAGACGTTCTGGGTGGAAAGTGGATGTCGTCGGAGGATGAGAAGCTGGCAATCGGGTATATTTTTAGGTGGGGATTGTAGAAACCGCGCTGTGGTATATCCGGAGCGTTGTATGATCCTGCAGGCAGCGCATCCCGGGAGTCGGGAGCGTATAGAATGGGAGAGCATCGTAGTAGATAAGGAAGCCAGTGCCTTTTTTTTTTTCAAAAGAAAGACTTCATCTCAGCCATTGAGGCTGGACTCCGGGGCTGATGGACGCAGCAGATAAATACAAAGCCAGCTCCAGGGCCTGGAACATCTGTCCGCTTGGTTCTCGCAGCGTAGAATGTTGGCGATGGTAGATGATGCCTTGGTCGTTGTCTTCCTTGTTGATTTTGAAAGCTGCGTCACTTTTTGTTTAGTCAGGGGCATTAGGTAAGCATGGAGTAACGCTAGGCCGAGTTCGGCCATCGCCGTTTTTTCTTTTCTTTCTACCGCTAAAAATACTCTCAGCTTCTCCTTTTCTCCTTTTTTCTCTCTCGATATTTCATGCATGTTTTCGCCTTCTGAGGCAGACTGAGGCAGCTGGCTCGTCGGGGAGAAGCCCAGGGGCAAAAAGAAGGCCCACTAGCGCTGGGCTGGCGTTTTTCGAGAAGCCACTGGCGCCGCGTTTGGCGCCCTCTAGTCTCGTCTTTGGATGGTCTGTTAACTAGAAGAAGAATCAGGTAAGGCAGAGCACCATCCAAAAATCAGCTTTGGACTTTATGGAATACCAAAGGATCCTGTTGAGATAGATGCCTGTATGGTGCACACTACAACTATACCTCCTTGTGTCTGTTGGAGCTCGCTGTTTAATTACATTGGCGGTGTTCCCCCTTTGCGACATATTAATCATGGACTTTGCTAAATTCGACACTCAATTTATGCTCTCTACGCTACGCAGTCTAAAATAAAGGACATGCCGCTCTGTACGGAGTAGTTGTCATCATTTTATCTCTCACGCTGATGCACAATGATAATAATAGAGCTTCTCTACGGTCTCTGGGTCAACTGGCTTGATTGGTCGTATGACTCGGTCTAGATGCCCTCCGTGTACCTATTTCACCAACCAGCTGGTAAAATATACGTCTTGCGGGTGAATATTACAATAATGAGGTCTTGCTCAACCTTTTAATCGAGTGAAAAGTCCTTCGGCGTTATGGGACTTTTATACATAGTCGGCACCAAGAGACACTAAAAGTAGGTAACCAAATAAACTCTCATAGGAAATTATTAATTTTTTTTTTTTTATTCGCGATCAACTCACAGCATCCCACTAAAACTGTTTATCACATCTCCGGCTGTTAGGCCTCCGGCGCATATATTGATACAGTATAGAATGGCAAACGGAAGTTCTAACTCCAGAACTCAAGCTGGTAATGTCAGCTCGACGGTTCAGACGCTGAGAGCTACTTTGACATCAGAAACTACCCCGCTGGCCCGCCGTTTCCGGGCTCTCTTCTCACTCAAACACCTCGCATGTCTGCAGCCGCCTACGGAAGATACTATCCCAGCCATAGACGCTATTGCCGCAGCCTTCACTTCGCCATCAGCGCTGCTAAAGCACGAACTAGCGTACTGTCTGGGCCAAACGAAGAATATACACGCCGTGCCGTTTCTGCGCCATGTGTTGGAAGATAAGAGCGAGGATAGCATGTGTAGACACGAAGCCGCAGAAGCTATTGGCGCATTATCAGACACATCAAGTCTAGATCTACTACGGAAGCTAAGGGACGATCCAAGTGAGCCAGATGTTGTTCGAGAAACCTGTGAGATTGCAGTAGATAGGATCCTGTGGGAGACCTCTGAAGAAAGACAGACAGAGAAGGTTAAGAAGAGGTGCGTACGCCTTGGTTATTCTAAAACACAAAAATGAGATTGATAATACGGATAAAAACAATGCTAACAGATAGTAAAGTGACTTCACTTCCATAGACCCTGCTCCTCCAACCGCTCTCACCTCGGAGGGTCACTCGATTCCAGCGCTCAAGAAAACACTTCTCGACACAAGCCTTCCTCTCTTCCAACGGTATCGTGCAATGTTTGCGTTACGCGACCTTTCCTCCCCACCGGATCTTCCAACTGCGCGAGAAGCAGTCGAGGCTTTGGCAGAAGGGCTTAAGGATAAATCGGCATTATTCAGACACGAAATTGCGTTTGTGTTTGGACAGCTCTCTCATCCCGCTAGCATCCCGAGCTTGGTGGCAGCACTCAGCAACAAGGAGGAGGCTGGTATGGTCCGTCATGAGGCCGCAGAGGCCCTTGGCAGTCTGGGTGACGAGGAAGGGGTAGAAGAAGTGTTGAGGAAGTTCCTGGACGACCCAGAGGTTGTTGTCAAGGATAGCGTCGTTGTCGCTCTCGATATGGCGGAGTATGAGAAAAATGGCGAACTTGAGTATAGTTTAATTCCGGAGCCGGCTGCCGTAGGTTAATGCTTGCTCATTCGGGAGGCCTTTTGCATGCATGTTCAATATATTCCTGAAATGATACACGCATAATAGCCTCCCTTTAGTTGTTTGTATTATGCCTGGATTGAAAATAGACGGTTAGCAACGTGACATCTTTTGGTACACTCCGATCCTAAAGTAGCCCACTTACTTGTGCCCGCATTCGCAAGTGTAGAAAACTGTGCTTCCCTCGTCGGCACTACGCAGCTGCAATGTATAGTATCTCATCTCTGTCCTACCACAATCGGGGCATGTCTCCTGAATCACAGCATCATCCTGCTTGCGTTGCTCAGCTAATGTGCGGACCGCCGAACTCTTCGATCGAAGGGATGATGGGAAGGCACTCGGCTTGGACTCGGAAACAATGGTTCTGGAAGCATGATCTAATGTCATATATCAGCATCAGATTAAAATAAATATATACAGCGCAAAGGGGAATGTATATTTACCTCTGTTCTGGGTTCCGCAGATGTCGCAGGTAAGAATGGTATTGGCATCGCCCGTGGACTCGCTCAAAAGATTGCCACAGTCGACACAAAATATTAATGACCCAATTGCAGACATTGTAATAAATCAAGAGGATTAGAATGTGAACCTGCTAGTGTACTCCGTCCTGACTGCGGGATGAATTTTTGTTCAAGTACTCAAGTCAATCTCGAAGCGTCTCTTGAAGATGTTGAATTTTAACTAGTTAGTTTAGCTGCTGAGTTTTCATTGGTAGAAACCTTAATTGAGATAGCCCCGCTCGTGCGTCGTACTTAAGTATTGTTAATTGGGCTACTTCTACATCAACTGCCAATTTGATGTAACGTATATCCAACCATATCCGTGCAAGGAAGAGGTGAGCTTTTCTGATGCGATCATAATAATGAAAAACTGCGAGATAGGTTATTTGGAGAAAATTAAGAAGAATCTTCGTACACACTTAATTAGTGCTGTACCTAGCTTTCCAGCACCATATATTTTCATGCCGCTTTGGGAAGTACTAGAAATCGTGTGATTTCAAAGGCTACCTATGCTACTTCTTGATAGCTTAGATTCGAGGATACAATAAACATAGTTATGATTTAATTATGTATGTCAAGCCGGAATGAAAACCGCAATTTGATTCTGTAGTCTCTTAAGTTGGTAGAGCAATGATCCTTAACACGCCACGCTTAGAATCTACTGCTCACCATTATTAATCTCGCAGGAAGAATAGGCCTCTCGATGACATGGGTTAAGTAGCCGAGAACCCTCTGATGCTCAAGATGTACTGCGATATGACGTTGCATTATGTTCTATCAAGGATTCAGCTGTAAAGGGCAGCCTGAATCACTGCCGAGCTGAGCGTCTTAAATGCTGCCAAGACGTACAAAGGGCAATATTCATCTGAATGTTTCCTGGTACATTGCAAGCATCTGTTGCTACGTATACATACTAGGTAGATGGCTGATTGTAAGGGAGGGATGGAAGAGTAGCGGATGGTAGGTCAACACCTAAATATGCCTTTTTTTGCTGTTGCCTGAAGATATGAATGAAAAATTAGATGTTCTTAGTATATATGCTGGTTCTTTCCCATTGATATTTCTCTATAGTCTGTCATATCATTCGGTACCGCACTTAAGAGACCCGGTATATTCATATTTCATATCACCTTCGGCTATGGCGGCAAGTGCAGAGGCTCTCTTTGATGTCCTCGGGAAACGATACGAAGACGCCTTCGCCGATAGCCCGAAACTCCATAAATTCTTAGAACTTGCATAGAAGAGGTTGCCGGAACATAGTAGGATTCTAGATGTTGGGTGCGAAATTGGTAAACCAGTGGCCCATACCCTCGCTTCTGCAGGCCATCAAGTTCATGGAATCGATGGGTCTCAAACCATGGTCAACATTGCCTCCAGCCAAGTGCCTGGAAATTTTATGAAGGTAGATATGAGAATGTACGAGCCTGGATGCACGTTTGATGGTGTGTTTGCGATTCTCTCTCTCTTCCAGCTTTCGCCTGGCGAAATATACTCGATGTGCTGCAGGTTTTCTGGATGGCTGAAGCCCGATGGGTATTTGGTTATTGGGGTGACCCCGAGTACAGACCTACCTCCGGGTGAGTACATTTATGATTCCACATGGGATTGCACGCGACAAATGGGGAAGCCATGGATGAACAGCTACACCGACGAGTTGTTTTTTTCCGAGGAGCGATGGAAGGAAATTCTCCGAAGCGTTGGGTTCGAGATTGAGTCGGATTCTCGCTATTCTTTCACCCCAAAAGGCCTAGAGTTCAATCACGCAGAGATTCATTATCTTCAACTAGCAAGAAAGGTCGAAAGCCAGCCGCTTCTAGGCCCATATCCGCGGCCTACTAAAGCTGAACTGCCTCGAATGTCCCGTGCCTAATACTCTACCGAGAGCCTAGTAAGCGAGCAGTTGAGTATTATTCTTGGGCGTTTCATAAAGGAGGAAGTCCTCTGCTTGGGATGTATCAACAAGGGTAGGTGGCGCTCAACCATCTATTTTAATCGAAAGAATGCTAAAAAACAGTTGACGAGACTGGAAGACTGGGGTGAGCACCAAGCCAAACTTTCGCATGTTTGACGGCACTACAGAAAAGCTGCCATTCTCGACAGAACAGTTCGACATTGTCTTGGTATCATGGCAACTTGAGTTTGCCGCGGACATGGAAGCAGCGTTGGGGGATATTTTGCGTGTTACCAGAAAGAACATATCATCTCGGATACTGGTCATCCAGGGAGCACCAGACAATGAATTTATTCGCTTTCTTAACACGACTTCCGGGCTTCCCAACGCACGACATCAAGGCTATCTTCTCCATTTTGCAAAAGAGTACTTTGCAAGGCATGGATTTGGCAAGGCTGCAGTGAGCCATATCAAAGCACACCATGCCTTCCCCGACGAAGATATATCCAAGAGGTGCAGAGCAGGTATTGATCTCCTTGCTAGGAACATGGTTTCCGTGATTGACAAAGAAGAGCTTTTTTCAAGGCTTGAACTTCATTTCCGTGGAAGTGAGCATGCGATTGGCCATAACATGGCCATGCTGGACGTGAGGTTGACTGCAAATTAGGCAAGCAAGGTAACTTGGAGCCTTTGGGTTTCTACAGCTGTTTCCTATTGACCTCAGTCATAAAAACCACAAATATTAGTGTTTTCAGTACTCCGTATTGGTTGCTGGGTTCAGACTCTTTGACAATATTCCATGGAAAGCGTATAGCTAGGTGGTTAAATGGAAGGCCTTACCGGGAGAAATAGACATAGCAGCAGCCACAACTCGCCCCATAACAAGCCCGCTACTTTTAACCAAACAACTGGGGACGATATGCATGATTATCTAACGTAGTTAGCTGTGGCGCTAGGTAATATCGCTTTATGCGACCCTTGCGAGGAGTTTGGATCGTAGAAATAATCCGACGAGCTAAATCCTGGAAATCACTACTTGCTGGCGTTCAAATGCAGCCGTCGTTTCGCGCAGAGAGATAGCCACCGCGGACGTCGCCAATGGCCCTGAACGAGATACCGAAATGCTGCCAGCTCACTCTCCCTGCCACCGAAAGCTCTTGATCAGTAGGACATTACCATGCAGCGCCCGTTTGAGGTTGCGATCCCGCGGGAGAGCAGCAGCTCGACCTACGATGCGGCTCGACGACTGCCTCGTCCGCTCTCCGTGGACGCAGCCCTGCAGTTCTCGCCCATGACGAGCGCGCCGATATTTGGCCTGGGTAAGTGCAGCCTGGCTGGCGGCCTGACAAGCGGTGCCGTGCTGACCAGACGGTCTTCTTCTCTTTTGTCCTCTGTAGACTCGATCTTGCGGCCGGACATCGAGCAGCCCTCACTTGCGAACTGGGCACGCACCTACGACTCCCACACCGCCGGCAGACTGATAGATACCCTCGACAACGAGACCCAAGCCAGCTCTGCGGACTCGCCTTATATCGAGACTGTCCGCAAGAACATACATGGCCTGCTGATAGGCGAAGGGTTGACCAGTGACGGCCTGACGACGATGTACAGCCTTTTCTGCTCCTCTTGTCCTCCCACCCCTTTGCCGACGGCTCGACTGTGCTGACTGTGAGGTGGGATGTAGTCGCTTCAAGGCGCCCCCGCGCGCTTGTCAACCTCGTCCCTCTGAAAAGACCCAGGCACCGCCAGCCAACATGGAGCTCACTGCCCATGAACGGCTTGGGCCCTTTGCAAAGATGGTGCTGGATACTACCAACATACCATTTAGATGTATGCGATCTCTCTCTCTCTCTCTCTCTATCTTTCTTCCAGTGCTTTATGCTTGGTTGTATATTTGCTAATGTAGCTGCAGACCCGTCACCAAGCTCTCCAAGTCCACCGAAACAAGTGCAGAGATCCAAACCAGCTTCTGCTCCCGATCAGCGTAATAGGGATACCCGTGAAGATGGAGGCAAGGCAGTCTCAAAAATCCCGGTCCCAAGTATGGCCGTCAAACCTGTTATTTTGGTTCCAGCGTTCCCCGACCCCTCGCAATTGAGCGAGTACCAACATCTTCCAGATACCTATGCAAAACCGCGGTTGTTGTCCCCAGCTACGCAACACGCCGAATCGGTAAAGATTCGAGATCAAAGGGAAGTAATCAACACGGCTGTAGCAAACCTCCAGTCTCTTCTCCAGGATGTATTTGAAAGTGAGGACGAGATGCAGCTCGAAAGCTCCCAGGATCCAGGCCAAAATACCAACAAATACTTTTACACCATGGATACCACGGAAGACAGCAGGCCGTGTCTGACCTCCGAGACCCATAAGCAACTGCAGAAGGCTTTCAGGAGCGTTACCGGATATGGTAAACTTGGAGATATTCCTAATGAGTTCATTACGCGTATCCAGAAGCTTTGTGAAGTTCCCATAATGGCGGCTCAGTCGGTTGACATCACAGTTGAAAGTGACATGTCTGAGACCAGCATGGAAAACTGGACAAAACAGCTTGGAGACCTAGAGAATGCACTGCTCGCTATGGGCACGCTGCTACACACCATGGATGGCCGTACTGATGCAAAGGAACTTTGCTCTGAAGACATGATACAACTCATTCCGACGGCTTTAAATCATGTTTTTGAGCGCTGTGTCATACCAGCGGTCGAATGCAGGCCAAGTGGTAAGGATACAGCTCTCTTCAGCATATTTACTAGCCAAAAGCAGGCGATATCAAGCGTAACCCTACAATCGAGGAAAATCCTGTCTCAGTTAGGCGTTTTTCTCTCTGCAGTTGACCTTGTCGAAGGTGCAATTACGGCAATGGAGTTTATGGCTACCAAGTTGATATTCGTCGAAAATGCTCACCATGAAAAAGACTCTACTATTGGAGTCCAGAGATTTGAGGCGGTTCGGCGTTGCGCTATGGACATGCTTGCTAAGATATTTGCCAAATATGCCGAGCAACGATCTTTTATCCTGGATGAGATTCTTGTGTCTCTCGAAAAGCTTCCGTCTACCAGGCAAAGTGCTAGGCAATTTAAGTTAACGGACGGAAAGAGTATTCAATTGCTTTCTGCGCTGGTTGTACAGCTTGTCCAAACCACTGCGGTCAGAAGCTCTTCACAACGTGCAGCGAAACCTAAATTGCGGTCATCCGGTCAAAATGAGGAGAGTGAAGACGATGATGAGTCGAGGTCTGAGGGTGAAGATGACACTTCTCCATTTGTTAACCTTTCTAGACAGGTTGACCAAGCTTATGATAATGCCGTGCGTAGCGCGCAGTATATCACCAGGTTCATTGTCCAACGAGCTATGGCCTCAACGAAGACCGGCGATCAACCTTACAGAAACATCCTGGACCTATTCACGGAAGATCTGATAAGCATTCTCGGCTCTTCAGAATGGCCTGGTGTCGAACTACTTCTACGGGTGCTTGCTTCTCAGATGGTTGGGATAGCAGAGCATGATAAAAGCACAGCAAATGCAAAAAATATGGCCCTGGAACTTCTAGGCTGGATGGGATCAGCAATCTCGGATTTGACCTCCACGGCGCAACATTTAAACAACTCAACGGATGATGGTGACTCGGAATTAACGGAATACATAAGGCAACTGTTCGATAACCATCTGAGCAGGTCATTACATGTCCAAGATCTTGTTGTCCATGATGGCCCCTACCGTATCTCCCTGGAATACTTTAATACTAAAGATGTGGCAGGCTCACACCTCCCAAGTGCTCGGGACTATCTCCTCACATCCTGGACTAAAACAGCATGCACCGTTTATTGTGATGCCTCCCAGAATGAGGCCATATCTCGCAGCTCTTCTGCCCGGAAGCTAGCAAGTTCTTTGACAAGTTTGATATCCGAGCCTCATTGGCTTGAGCAGCATCGGTATGTGGCAACCTGCGGGTTAACTTCCATCGTCTTCAGTATCTAATCCTATAACAGTGAATACGAGAATATTTCAACCCAACAAGCTCGATTTGCCTATCTTATTGTTATTTTGAGCAGCGGATTCTGCAAGGCCTTTGATACTATCGTTAAGGTCTTGCTCAGCTCCATCTCCAGTGACCAGGCAAAAGTGCGGAGTCGAAGCTTAAAGAGCGTCATTCATATGCTTGAACGGGACCCAAGTCTACTAGACCGTGACGACTCCATTATGGACTTGATTCTTAGATGCGCAGCTGACTCATCTCCAATGGTCCGCGACTCTGCCCTTACTTTGACAGCCCGATGCATTTCCCTCAAACCAGCACTGGAGAATGAGTGCTGCCGTGCAATATTAGCATGCGCTTCTGACCCAACAGTCGGTGTTCGAAAGCGATGCATAGGTCTGATGAGAGATGTATACACCGCAACATCCAACAAGGATTTGAGGATTTCTATTATAGAACAGATACTCAGAAGAGTTCAAGATCATGAAACAAACGTTGCAACCTTAGCACGGCAAGGCCTGGAGGAGCTTTGGCTGTCACCACTCCATTCCACGGATAATTTCGATACACCGCAGGCCAAAGTATCTCTTGGAGAGTTGGTGGCGCTTTTCATAGGGGCGGTCCAAAGAGGTGACGAGGTGGTATCTAATCTTGAATCTTTCTTCAAAGCGGCCCTTCACCCAGAATCCAGAGCAGTGGCGCAGAATTTCAAAATATGCAAGGCGGCGGTTGCTACTCTCTTTGAAAACGTGGTCCACGGATCCAATAATGACCAACGATCTCTGCAATCTCATCTTCGAACACTAACGGTTTTTGCAAAGTCGAATCCCAAACTGCTCACTCCAGACCAACTCGAGACGCTTCATCCTTATATTGGACATCTTTCGAGTACAGACGATCTCTTACTTTTCCGTTCTGTGGTGGTCATATACCGCTGTGTTCTGCCAAATCTCTCTTCCGCCCACAATAACCTCCTCAAAGAGATTCAAAATGACTTGTTTAAGAGTGTCTCAAAACTTGCTAGGACTGAACTTAATGAAGTTATGGCTTGTCTGTGGACTATAAACGGGGTTTTGCAAAATACAGAGCGACTTGTCAAACTTACAATATCCGTCTTGAAAGGAATTTACCAGGCATCAAGCACCAAACTTGACGCTTCTACCAGCGGCGATGCCTTGGGTAGAGTTCGAAGTTATATAAGAATTGCTGGCTGTGTGGGAAAACATTGCAACCTGGAGAAATTCAGTTCATTCTTTGCCCAGGCGTTTCCAAAATCCAACACTGAATCTGTTTCTGGTCTCATGGTGGAGTTTATAGCTCCATTTGCATCCTCTATATACCCTCATGAGCTCAGAGTTATGGCATTAGAAAGTTTGGGATCGATATGTGAAACTTGGCCCGAGCAATATGGCAAAGAGAAAGCTAGACTAGCATTCTCCTCTGTTTTCAAAGAAGACAGTGGCGATCTCCAGGATATCGTCCTGAAAACTTTCCTCACATTCTTTTCTATTCATGAAGGTAAATCAGAAAAGTTTGTGAATACTACTGAAACGAATGGTGATAGTGCCGATACCAGCAGACTTGGAGGGTCATTAAAGGCCAGTGCAAACGATGGTGCAGCGGCTTTGATAGCGCAAAATTTCCTTTCCCAGATGCTTCATGCTGCCATGTCGAAGCAGGATACATTTGCACTAACTGCCATCGAACTGATTGCAAGCATCAATCGTCAAGGACTAATCCATCCAAAAGAATGTGCAGGGGTGCTAGTGTCCTTGGAAACATCCCCTAATTCGACGATTGCTACTACGGCATATGAAATTCACAAAATGCTCCACCAACAACACGAATCTATGTTTGACCGCGAGTACATGAGAGCAATTCAAGAGGCATTCTACTATCAGCGCGATGTTATTGGTGATTCAACCGGTGCCTCGGTTCGTCCGTTCACTCCAAAACTTGCTTTACTATTCGATATTGTCAAACTTAGCAACAGCAAGTATCAAAAGAAGTTTCTCACGAATTTTTGCTCCAAAGCCAACTTTGAACTGAAGAAGCTAGACACTTCAGGGAATCCACCTGAATACCTGGAGCTTACACGGTTCGTGTGCCAAAACGTTGCATTCTTTGATTATGCCCAAGTCGCAGAACTTCTGGCCGCCATTTCTTGCATGGAACGTATTGTCGGGACCACTGGGACCGCAGTCGCACATTCTATAGACACGGAGGTCCTATCTGTGAAAGTGCCAGAGGCTATCGAACAACTTGGACTACAGGAAGGAGAGTCCAATATCATTCCTGACCCAATTGATCCTGCTGTATTAAAGCGACTTGCAACTGCTGGCGCCGGCCTTTCAATGCTGTGGGAGACAAGGACTTACCTCCGCCGTCTTTATAACTTGAACTTCCACTCTTTGCAAAAGGAAGGCAAAGTTGCCGCTAAAGAACTGAACAAACCGGCCTCTAAAGTGCCAGGCATCAACGGTGATAGGTTCTGGGATACTATAGCACGAATTATGAAATCCTTGGACAATACTGACTCCATGACTAACATGTGCCGCGAGTTTTCTACTTTGATGTCGGTGGACGATGAACTCAAGATCGCCGGTGATGAAGATCGGGGCAGTCCCGACCCGTTTGCTGAAGTGAATGACGTGAGCAGTGTGATTGGAACTGCGGGAAGGCCTGTGAAACGAAAGAGCTCCGTCTCTAGTTTCACGACACCAAAGAAGAGACCAAGAGGAAGACCAAAGCTGGGAAGTAAACGCCCCAGTGAAGACTCGGACGAAGACAGTGACATGGATTAAAGATCTTTCTATTTCAATATTATTGTATATTACCCTACCTTTCCTGTATCATTCCACTTTTTTCACGGGGGCGATGAGGCGCACGGGTCATTTCACCAGCCTTGATTTCATTTATCAACACTTACGAGCATCTTATGGTGAGCAATATCATGGCGGACGAAACGGCACTTATGGTTCCAGGGGAGTTTGGCCAAAGAGGTCTATTATTTGATGACGGGGGTGATCTGTGATTAAATATACATACTTGATAACATATAGATTATTATTATTATTATTATTTTTCTATGCTGCAGAATTATCGTGATTGCCATGGTTAGTGCAGCAAACAAACGTTTGGCAGCTATAGGAAAAGTAGCCAAAAACGCATCTAAAAAAAAAAAAAATAAATAAATAAAAAAAATAACGGAAATGAATTTCTAGAACGACAGCGTACAAGCTACTGCTGTAAAAATATTATATACACAACATGAAATGACTGGGAACGGTAGGCACTTTATTTTGTTTTGATGTATTTGAGCTTCCTAGACTCATGTAGGAAGTTGTTTGCGTAGGCCTTTGGGCGGAAAACGCGCTCATTTGGCTCCTGAACAAAATATTCGTACCCCTGCTTCTCAGCAAATCGAATTGCATCTTCTTTTGACTTGAAATTGATATGGGTTCCCTGCATAGCGTCTGCGGAAGACTGCCATCCCATTAGTGGATTTTCCCAGCGGTGACCCTTGGATAGGACATCCCAGTCCATCCTCCAGTGGTGGCTGCGCCAGGTACCAGATTGAGTAGCTGGTTTGGCACTACGGTATATTCTGTGATAGAGCAAAGGTGAGTAGGCTATATCATTAATTGGAAACCAGGGTCTGGCGGAACGCTACCTGACTGTTCGGGCCTGAAGGTCTGTTGGAGCACCTGAGAGAACGGCAGCAGCAACGACTTCACTTGGCTCGCTTCCGTCCATTACTCGCTTGGGAACTGGAGAGAACAGGCTGAGAGGAATAACAGTTAGCAAGTATGCACATGCACATGTATTTTTATACTGGTATGAAAGCCCAGGGTAGAGAGGGCCCTTACGAGGTACCATGGTCAACAGTAGCATTGTAGTCGGGCTGATGGCGTGGAATAGATTCACCAGCAGACTCTTTGCGGGTTATAGCACTTCCGGTAGATGGTGTTGCGGGGGCATCTTGGGTGGTGGTCTTGATCTCTCCAGCGGCTTGATGGGTGGTGGAGGAGCTTAGGTACCGGGCATTGAGGGCGTATGCAGATCGAATGGAGCGGGAGCAGGTGGCTCCAATGGCGGAGGGCCCGCCAGCTCGCAGTAGTGGCATCGTGAAACTGAAGATACGTCGGCGTTAGGCCTGGGTAGCGTTGTGATTCTGCTCAACAGCGACGTTCTTTTAATATCTCCCGGTTGCGTCCAGTTCGAACCTTAGCCACGGGGCATTAGGTAAGCAGCGGAGTTTCAGTTGTGCCGGTATCCATATGCGGTTTAGCGCGGCCTCGCTGCGACTTCAACTTGACACTCACAGTCCGAACAACGGCAGAGTCATCGACGAAAAAGCACGAACTCTTCCGCTTCTTTATCACCACCACGTAGTCGGTGACCTGTGTCTACGGTAATTGAGCTCCTGCTGGTACTATTACATGGCTGTTATTGTCTTCAGTACGCTAACCTGGTTCTCCGCGGAAAGATCCGATCATCATGAGCTTCATTGCCAGACGAGGGATCTCTACCCTCATTCCCCCAAAGGTATGTTCTAATCTTGGTGCTATAACGTCAGGAAATGAATTTGATAGCTAATACAGTGTAGATTGCCTCTCCTTCGGTTCGTATACTGGAATATCCTCCTCAATTGCGCATAATTCCGTTTGATTCTGTGTGTCGTGGTCTCAGTGGATATTAAAACGACCACCATTGCAAGCATACAACACAGGAACTCATACAGCCGGCTTACAATGCTATTAGGCAATTGGTGCTGCTAAGGATGCTGCTCGCATGGAACGTGTGAGCGACTTTTACGCCAGACTCCCACGCGGTCCGGCCCCCGAGGCCAAGCCCTCTGGTCTTTTTGCTCGTTACCAGGCCGCATACTTTGGCAAGAACGCTTCTTCTGCTCGTAAGTCTTGAAAATATTCCTTTGCAATAATTTATTTATATAATCGGCCGATTGTTGTCTATTTTTTTTGCCTGTGGTAGAAAGGTTAGCCTCAGGTCTGCGTCGATTATATAGCTAACTGTTACTTTACAGCTCTTGTCCATCTAATTATTGGCCTGACCCTCGTCGGCTACAGCATACAATACGTTACCCACCTCCGTAAGTGCTCCTGGTGCCTACCTACGCTCCCTTGGATAGAAAGCCGTATGCTAACTGCTACTTCCTGCCCCCAGGCCACCACAAGAACAACCCTCACTAGTCGAATAACAAATGACGCTGTACCACATACATGTAGATATTCAATAGAATGAATCACTTGCTTAAACCTATATTTTCTATCCTCTAATTGCCATCCTCTTACCTGCTCGTCCTTGCCTGCCGCAAAATATCCTGACTGGAAGTTGGTGTGTATGTACCGCGCTAGCCTGTTTGGGCGACTCGTCTTGGCGCAGCTGGCCGACTTTCGTCTTTCAAAAGTGTCACTTTTCACTCTTCTATTGATCTTGAATTCTACAACACCGTCAACTATCTTGACAACAACCGGCGTCTTGTTTCCGGCCTGTTATCGGCGTTCCTGGGCTTACTGTAGTTGGGACTTTTGGTTCGACCTTTTCTTTTGCCTCACCGGAATAGCAAGGAAGCTTCTGCTGCATCTTCTGCCAACGCGTGTTCGACCGGCCTGCTTGTGAAAGTCCTCCCTGCGGATAGGCTACTTGTGTGGTTCTCCGTCGCAATAACTAGTCTTTGACGATACGTACGTTTCCCACTTATACCGTCGTTCGTTTTTGTCTGGCCTGTTTTGCGAAAAACAGAAGGCAAAAGTTGTGAGTCCTGGATGGCGCTGACCTATGTTTCTTGAAGCTATAGAGCATTGTTATGGCAGAGCGGAGCAGCAACGATGTGGTAAACCAAACCCGGTCGGGCGGCGACCTCTCGCCTTCCGACGTTCCTGCGAGCAAACCTGACAATTTGACTGCTGGAGGGGACCGGGGGGATGTTCAAGCTTCTGATAACAACTCAAAACCAAAGGCAAACACACATTCATCGCAGGAAATATCAACGGGTAACCCATCGTCGACTGAGACTAACGGAGTCGGATCGGAGAGCAACGATGCCAATACCAGCTTATCGCCAAACGTTGGAGATGGGAGTGGAGGATCGGATACAGATGCGAGTCGACCGGACGCACGATCTAACACTGATGGGGCACAACACTCTCGAACAAGTTCTGTGAAAAGGCCGGCATCATTCAAACCAGTTTCCTTCGCCAAATTTTCCGTGACAAAACCTCCGGGTTCGAATGGAAATAGCAAAGCAAGCCCGGAGAAAGGTATGCACTCTTCCTTTTTCATGACGAGCTTTATATGTTCTTCAAGGACAAAATGTTGATACTCTATACACAGCACCGTTTCTAACATCAACTCCGCCGTCATCTACATCGACACCTTTGAGCTCGAGGCCTCGGCTAGTCGCAAAATCTGGAAGTGGGCTACGGGATTCTTCTCCCCGGACATCTACGGCAGGAAGTAAAAATGTCTCGGGTGCCCCCGATGCCAATCTAGTATGGAATAAAAATCGGCGTAAGTGTCTTCCGTAACGTCATGGCTTTCTACGAATTAACAGTATTTCGATGTAGCTGTTCAACCACCCCCGACAAAACACCTAACGGATGAAGAGCTGAAGCAACAATATGGAATTCACATGACATCACGCATACAGACAGACGACAACGAGAAGGAGGCCAAATGGGCCGATATTGATGACGACGAGGATGACTGGGCTCCCGAAACTATTGAATGGAACGATGGCACAAAAATTACTTTGACTCATACCGAAGGCAGTGCGCCGGGATCCCAAGAGACCAGTACTCTAGCTAATAACTCAAACGATCAAAAAAGACAACCCTCACCAGCCAACAATATGCCACCAGCACGCGAAGCCCCTAAACTTTTACTTTCGAAACCGTCAAGTTCCCTTGGGTCGAATACTACAATCTTAAAAGTCGGTGCAAGCGCCGAAAAGCAGCAATCTAAACAGGGTGGCGATTTGTCAAAAAATACCAATGATAAGCCCACACTAACATCAAAGGGCGCTGCTGCGGTGCGGTCGCCGTGGGCCCCATTACCGCCTGTGGAAAAGGCCTCTCCTCTAGCACCTAATCCTCCAGCTCAAAATCAAGTTCCTCGGTTTAACCATGGCGAGCCTTCTAGGTTAGATGCCGGTCCAGCTCCTCCTACGAAAGAAATTGCTGCCGATGACTTCAATAGGTCTTGGAGAGATCGACAACCTACCGCTCCTCGAGAACTTTACAATTCGCAATCAGGTCGATACGAACCCGTCTCAGACAACAGACATGGACACCTGAGAAATGACAGATCGGGGAAGAATGATGGTCATTTTAGGCCTGCTTCCCTCCTTCAACGGTCTATGCATGAACAACCTGGACCCGCGGAACCATCACCTGCCTTTCAGACTCACAGAAGCCCTACAGAAGGGAGCCAGTGGGGACGTCGACGCGCTTCGTCGAATGTAAGTGGCAGTAGTGGAGGATTCGCCAGAAGAATGTCTTTGACTAGACCCGAACTTCCATCCAAAGGAGGACCACCGTCCACAGGGACGCTTGAGAGGTCAGCCTCACCAAATGCCCGTCAAATGCAAAATGGTCCAGTGGCCCCGAGTCTAGGTTCCCCATCTCAGCAGTCACACAGGAGTCTTGATCATGGACCTCCCAACTTTCATCAGGCTTCGCCTAGCTCTCAAACCAATGCACCCTCTCAAGGTGCCGTGGATGGCCAAACCTCTCAGCCTCCAGTCATGGTAGAAGACCCTGTTGCAATGCAACAAAGAATCATGCGGGAGAAACGAGAAATGGCCAGACAACGACGACTAGAACAGGAAGCTAAAGAAGAAGCAGCAAAGCAAGAACGCATAAGGATAAAATTGCAGTCTATGGGTGTACCTGCCAATGAGCTCCCAGGTGCAAAAGACAGCACGCCATCATCGAATTCAGAATCAAAGAAGCCAACCGGTCCACCATCAACATCAACTACTGCCATATCCTCACCTCCGAAACCTCCTGTTCCGGAATTAACAGGAGAACCTAAGCAATACGGCATGATGAAGGTCCATCACCCCGAGTCGGTGAAGAAGTTAGTAGCTTCTTCCGAGAAACACCCTGAGAAGCCCCAGCAAGTCGGAAACCAGGCGCAAAATCATCAAGCACCCCTTTCTCATAAGCAAGCAATGCCTGATGCCTCACCCACTGTTAACGGTTCAAAACGTACTCAAGAGGGCCAGGCTAAAACCTCACAGCCTATCTATGGACCGCAACCAGAGGAGAGACCGCCAAATTGGAAGTATTCTGTTCCATCAACGTCTACATACAGTTGGCCTAGCTCAAAAGGTCACACAGCGGGTCTTGGTGCTCTTTGGGGACCACCAAGTAATGACAAAGCTTTGGGCAATGGCACCTTTGATAGGAATCTTGCTAGCTTCCCATCAGATCTCAGTTCTTTAGGTTTGACTGAACAACAGCACCTCTATCCCCAGCAGGCCCAGGAAGGGGCTGAAATTCCGGAAGGAATATCTCGCCCTCTACCACCTCCCTCCAAAACAGGTCCAGATAACGCAAAAACATTATCACCTCTATCATCTTCTGACCATATGCGGCCGGATCGCATGGGTGACAATCCCAAACCAATAGCTCCACCCGGACCGATTGCACCACCGTCCTATAACCAAGGACAACGATGGCAACAAGACCGATTGCCACACCGTAACCAGGAAACTGCAGCTTGGAGTAATTTTCATTTGGTTGCTAGAAAGTCTGAATTGGAAGAGAATGAAAGGTTTCATCAAGATCTCAAAGCTCTTCGTGAAGAAGAAGCCAAGACAGGAATTGCCTCCTCTCTCCAAACAACCTTCAATGAAACTTGGAGACAGGTTGAAGCTGGAGAACGTCCGGGGAATAGAAATATCATTGGAGTGGTGTCTACAACTTCTGACAAGGAGCCCCAACCTTCTCCTTTCCCTCAAATTGATTCTGTCAGCGGTCTTTCTTTTAGTGATAAACAGAAAGCTGTGCCCCCACCCTCGACTCGTGGCTCCCGTTTCTTCCCACCGGCTTCTGAACCAAAGCGCCTAAACAATCAAGAGATTCTGCCCCCTCGCAGCCAATCTCCCCCCCCACCGGAGGAAGTGTCCAGCCACCCCGTGTTCACGGGTGATTCTCAAAGACCATTAGTTCACCTTCCCAACCCCAAACCTCGCGTGAAACTCCCTCCAGGCTCCCTCTCCACTCCTAGCCCACCGCCTCCTCCCCCAGCTCCCGCAACCTTCGCTGCCATGGTTGCTTCACCTCCTCCTGCACGAACGCCTGCACAGCCAATTGCGAGTACCACTTCCTGGCAAGACAGATTCAACGGACTATTTGGAAAGAAGACATCCCAACCTGCTCAGAGGAAGAACAGCTCACTCGCAGTTGCGTCTGCAACCAAGGAACCCCTGGATGTAATATCGAGTTCCTCATCTGCAGCCGTATCTTTTCCACAATATGATGAGAAGCGGAAATTTACAGGCGACCCCGGTAGAGCAACGACTAAAGAGGTTGAGGACGAAGAAGCAATATTCGAAGATCGCGAGGCAGGCTCCTTGCCTGTTGTCAAAGTCCCTGATATGGCCCCACGAGCTGCGTGGCATCCAGCCCCAAAGCAGTCGCGCTTCCGAACCAAGTACCAGAAACCGGTGTTATCACAAAGTATTGAGCCGTATATCATTGGTAGTATTGAACGGGATAGCAACGGGGAAGTCTCTGTTATAGTTCGACCACCAGGAAAGGGATTGAAAATGGTTCCCTTGCCTAAACGAGGCGGGAGCAGCTCAGGAAAATTCCGTTCGAATCCAAAGAACCGGTCACGGAACCCAAGATCTAGAGAAGGGAGCGGATCATATCAAAACTCACACCCTACAAAAAAGCCTGTGTCTAGTACGGCCAACACTACATCGCCGGCGTCTCTCTCGAGTTCCGCCCGCCAGGGTTCTCACAGATCCCATCAAAGCAGCACAAAATAGGCATGCTAACCTCATGATTCACTACCCTCACCCTTTTTCCTCTCTTTTCGCGTCTCGATAGCCATGAATAACTAATTTCGTGAGATGAACACAGACTTGAATCTTCCGCAAGTCAAGTTTGTATCTTTTTTTTTCTTTTTCTTTTTTTTCTTTGTTTTGCTTTTCTGTTTCGGGCGGATCCTACCAAGCATGGATAGTTTTTCTACCCCTATTTTCCTTCTCTCTTTTGTCAGTCATCATCACACTTCATCAATACTTTCTCGTTCGCCTTGCCACCTGTTCTCTGTCTGCCTCCCTAAGTCGACTTCTCCACCTCCTAGCTTCGTCTTCGCCTTTCTTAATACTATCGCTCGAACCTCTGCAACCTCGCAACCGAGATTGTCTCACACAACACTGTGCTAAGGACATTCCGGAAGGATTATTTCCAAGCTCCTACTCAACTAGTTATCTCTAATTCTTTGTTATTTCAAAGGAAGCGATAGGTGGCTGAAATTGAAGACTTGTAACATTATTTATTCCTTGCCCCTGTAATCAATTTTTTTTGCATGCCCGTTGTCTCTCAATATAACGTGGGCAAGCAGCAGGCTAGTTATCGCCCAGTCAGTGCTGACATGTTTATAGTAACATGAAAGGTCTCCTTGGACACGAATAATATACAGATCTTAGCTACATGAATCATCCGCCTGACCTAAAGGTCACAAAAAACAAAGATCATAAAGATGCATCGCTTGCTAAACCACCCGTAAAAGCATTAATAAACTGTTCCATACTTCGACTCCATTACCAGTTCCATGTTCTACTGGAGGCATTGAAGACCGGTGGCTTCCACTGGAGACGTGTAGGGTCAATATTCCTAGCGCCCTTGACTTTCTCTTTTTCGAGACGCTTCTTATGTTGCTCCATCACGCTATCTGTTAACACCAAGACCCAGTTTCCTTTCTATTGACGTCAGTCAGAAACAGGCCATTAAGTCGATAATGTGATTAGTATGGATTGCGGACGACTTACATTATACCGTAGCAGTCCTAGCACCACCAATGTCTCATGAACATCCTTTTCAGTCATCGCACTTAACGTAGCTAACTCGCTCTCGCTAATTGCGTCTCGGCCTGGCTCAACAAGAAGTTCAACAAGCGTTTCCCTCCAATACTGGCGATAGCTCAGTAAACCTAGGTCACTAAGAGGCTTTTCAGGAGAGCCTAGCTTCCCTTCCCGCTTGCTAAGCTCATAGCTGAAGGCGATAAGCAGTCGACCAAACCCACGACGTTGGTACTGAGGCAAAGTCAGGATACACGCAACGTTATATCCTTCGGCAGACTCCTTTTCCTTAGAGAAATATCCGACAAGATGGCATCCGTTGGCATCCCGTGTAGTCATACAGTAGAATAGGAATGGATCGACATCGTAGTATAACGTCTTGTGGTCTAAAAACAGCTTGCTGAGTAGACAGAGGTTTCTGCACCATGTCCTTTGTCGTCTGCCATCAACTTCAAAAAATGAAACATGGTCATCCCGGTATATCTCGTTTCCTGGTGGATGTAGTAAGGTACACTTGCTCCGATGTCTGCGGAACGCACGTTCGTTATCAAAGTAGCTGAGGCAGAATTCGTCGATGTAGATCATATCGGCATCACTAAAGGACATAGGATAAGGAGAGAAGTACCACGGCTCAATCTCGAATTTACCCATTTGGATCTTACTTAAGTTCCGTACACGATGGATTTCAGTAAGATTTTGAGTCATGCTCCCTCCTGTTCTTAACTTTTCAATTTCGACTTCCCTGGTTGTGTCAGCAGCGAGCTTATCTTGTTCTTCCTTGAGAACAGCCTTCGCCTCGACCTCGGATTGGATATCGGCCATCTCAACATCTTCTGACTCTCCGTCACGAACTCGAGGTGTGCCACTCACGGATGGCCCCTCGCTGCCAAGCATGGATATTTCGAATGGTGTACTACTTTCATCTTCCTGATTTTCTTTGCCTCCAGCTTTTGAAGGCCTTGGAGCTTTTGAAATGTTCTGGCTCTTGCCAGACAGTAGATCTGGAGTCGATGAAGCATCTCTGCTTGCATGCTGTCCCCGCTTGAGATTCTTTGGTTGCGCCTTGGTAGCAGCCGCAGCCGCAGCCGCCCCTGATATTTTCTTCTTTTCAGGTTTCTCCGGCTGGGGCCATTCAACTTCCTTTGTAAGATCGATTCGCGATGCAACAATCCATTCTGAACGTGTTATCAGCATAGGATTTGGACAGTTACTATTAACAAAAAATCCTTACCATCAAGACGCTTGTTGAAGTCCACATAATGGACACTATGCCAATATTAGTACCATCCAACACCACAGCAGCTCAGGAATAGTGCGACGTACTAGAAGGTCGGCCCTCCTTTCTTCTGCTTTATTGAAAGAATCTCGGCCTTTCGCTGCTCTCCATCCTAAGCACTTGGTCAGTATCAGTCACGTGATATGAGATAGGCAGCATGGTTTCTCACTTTGTCGACAAACACCTTTACTCCGATACTGCAAGGACGATGAGGTCAGTTTCAGATGATCGAAAGCACAGGAAATAGAGGAATAGTCATGCTACTAGAGTAAGGCCACGGTTTTTTCATAGCGTACCTCAGGGTATTCAAGGTGGCAAAACCTCTATCCGCGGGGTCTGGCGTTTCAACAGCCTCCTGGGAGCCTTCTGGGACACCCATATTAAGCGGTAGACGGTATTTAGCGATATAAGAACTGAAGATTTGATAAAATACGCGTTGGTTATAATGATTTTGATGGATGTTGTTGAGATGTGACTTTGAGGTTGCGAGCGAAAATCTCGTTCGACCTTTGAAGTTCTGGGTAGCGATGGCGCCGCTAATTGCCACGCGCTACCAAAATATTGACACGCGCGGCAAAGTATCGGAGCAGAGGAACCACTAAAGCGAAGATAGAGGTGATTCCATAGTTAATTAACCATTAGATACAGTTGGAACGCCTTGTGCAGATAAGTAAAAATACAAAAATGAGAAACAGGGAAGTAAAAAGGAACAGGAATTACTAAGAACAAAGGCAAAACTTTCCACCAGAAAAGAGCTGAAATAGAACAAACTCCCTTCAATGGCACCCATTCACTCCACCCAAAGATTCAAGCTCGTCCTTTCTAGCCCTGTAGAGCTCCTGTGCTTCGCGCTCTCGTCTCGTAATAAAGGTTACTTCGTCCCGAATACTCTCAAGCCGTAAGGCAATGGCTGCATCTTCCGCAATTTGTAATGTGCGGAACGAGTCGAGGGCCGTGTTAGCTTTGCTGAGGGCTTCATCAGCTTGGATTATTTTATTTCGCAACGTCTTTGCTCGAGTCTGATAGCCCCCAAAATGTAATGCAATCTTCTTCTCCAGTTTGTTACCTTGCTCAGCGGCTTGCAGCAAGCTAGCCTGAACACTGTCAAACGCATGAGTTACCTCCTCCTTCTCTTGTTCGAAACGATCTTCATTATCTCCTCCTTCCTCACTGTATAGTGAAAGCCCGGGCAAAGTAGAGGTAGACACATGAAGGGTAGACCACGATGACCGGAAACTATCATTCCATTGCGACTGTGCTCCAAGTTTCCCGGCCTCTGCATCTACCTCTTCTCTTGCCTTTGATATTAGATCATCATCTAACGTGTCTAGTTTCGGTATTTTACCCTCGACTCTAATTCCGGGTAATGGAAACTTTCGAGCATCATTCGCAATCAGCTTTGCCATCTCAAGCGCGACAAGTCGACGAGCAGGACATTCTATTTTATCAGCATCCTCCATTAGGCGCCGGATGTTGACCAAGGCCGGACGAGGAAGCCCCTGTTGATAGACTTGTGTTTGTCGTTTAAATTCTAATTCCGCTGCTTTCTCGGCCGCAAGTCTGTTTCTCATATCACGCTCAGAGGCATCCTCTTCTGAAACCTCATTAAAGGACTGTGGGACTGGCCGTTCTGAAGGCATTTCCTCTAGCTCCCATTCCGTCTCCTTGGGCTTGGGAAGACAAGAAAGCTGGGATCGCAGATTTTGTCTCGCAATGTTTTCCCGCATTTTTACCTCCCTGGGCGTAGCACCAACAAGCTGGTAAGGATCGCCAGTTTCTAGATTAATCATTAACGAGTCTCTAGGGGTTCGCAGAGGCGTTGCACCAGGCCCACGCATTGGGGTAGCGTTTGCTGCATTTCCCATACCCTGTCGGAATGGCGTCGCCATAGGGTTCGGAGTAATCATTTGGTGTTGGCGAGGTGCTATTCCCTCGAATCCAGTCGAGCCTCCTTCAAGGAGAGGAGTATTTTCACCGCCCAGGAGGGATGATTGTGTCTCCGTCAATGCCTTGATATTTCGGATTTCATTCGCAATTCTGTCTTCTTCCGGTAATGCCCTGGGTGTTCGAATAGGCGTGTTCCCGACAATATTAGAATAGTTACCGACAAGCCCCCGAGTTCCGTCATTACCATCTTCACCCGCCATCTTACTTGCGCGTTCTCCAGCCATTCCCATTTTGACAATCTCTTCCAGCTCAGTTTCTCCTACCTGTGGACTTGGGAGGACCAGTGCTCGACGTTTGCTGCTTTGTTCCGCTTCACGAATTCGCTGCATCTGGCCTGCTTTAGCAGCAGCCGCAAAGGCTGAAGACGAGCCATTCTTTTCATTCTTCCGTCTCTTCCTATCATCGTCCTCTTCCTGGTCTCCCTTCCGTTTACTTGCGAGTTGGAGCTTGCGGGGATCGAAGTTCGCACGCTGACGTTCGTTTCTTGACTGTTCATCAAGTGTATCGTAGAAACCGGGCGCAGGCGCCTTTTCGAATGGTATATCCGCATTGTAGTCCATTTGACCAGGCTTTCGCGTGACAACTTTGATATTGATTCCCGCATTTTTGAGCTCTCTTCTTTTTTGTAGGACGGCAAGTCGCCGGGATTCCTCTAGCTGTCGTTCTCTAGCTTTTCGCTTCGCTTTCTTGCCTTGGGTGTTAGCAAGACGCGCTCGTGCTTCACTAAGCATCTCCTTCTCATCTTCATCGAGGTCAATAGTATCGGGACGAGCAGGCTTGGATTCGGGATCGGGGTCTAGCTCTCCTGGTCTTCACGGGGATCGTCAGTAAATCTAAAGACCAAATGCGTAAGAATTATCTTACCGTAGTCTTCTAACATCGTCTGCACTAGGGGCAGAAGCCTCGCCACCAGCCGGCCCTCCCAGGCCTAGCTCGTCTGATTCCCTGGCTTCGGCTTCATCTAACAGTTTCTGATACCTCTCCAAGCACTGCGTAGCCGTTCGTCCAACAATAGGAGCAATAGTTCGCCATTGCGTAGGCATCAATTTAGCTAGATGAAGAAGTTTTTCGTCCTCCTCTTTGGACCACTCGATCTTTCGGATGGCGGGATCTAGCCATTCTGACCATCTAGCTTTACATTGTTTCGGGGTCTTGCGCGCAAGAAGAGAAGAAACTCGAGCCCATTGATTAAGGCCGTACTTGGAAACAGCAACCTTGACGATTTCATCTTCGATATTGGTCCTAGAACAGTGGTTAGTAGCCTGTTATCAGCAACCCGCGTTGAACAAAATAAAAGAAACAAAGCAAGACTTACCAAACACCGCCTTTTACGACCGGCATATTGACGGACAGATGACTCTCGATGTTTACTGTATTGTTGTATCGAGACTTTGCCCAGGATTTCTTGTTCACCACAGAGTGTCTTGTAGCCTAAAGCCCTTGCGGCTTGGGAAGAAAGGTGAAGTCTTGACTTTTAGCGCCTTTTAGCGCCAAGCGCGATAACTAATGAACTGGACTAACTGACCAACCACAGGCGCAAAACATTAGGTTATAACTTTATCTCCATGAAGAAAATTGCAACAGCGGATAATAACACGAACGATCTCTTCTAGCCAGTTTTCTTTTATTTCTCCCAAAATCACAATTCAGCATGTCGGCAACAGTGGGAGCCCCGCAACAGTTTAAGCAGCCCTCTCGAAAGGGTAAGAAAGCATGGAGGAAAAATGTCGACGTTACTGAAGTGCAAGAGGGACTCGACCAGGTTCGAGAAGAAGAGATTAAAGGGTATGCAAAACTCTTTTAATTTCTTCCATTCTGGAGTAACTGATATGCTAATATCTGATTTATAGAGGTGTGCTGGCAGAGAAACCGTCCGAAGAACTGTTTATACTAGACCCTACGGGAGATGAGGAAGTTCAGCGAAAGGTTCAAAAGAAATTTAAATCTTTACGTGCCGATGAGATTATTGCGCAGCGTTCGGCTATAAGCGCAGTCGACAGCCGTAAGCGCCCGTCCAATTCCAGAGTTACAGATGGAGTTATAGAGCCGAAGACAAAGAAAAGTCGAAGTGATTGGGTAACTAGAGAAGAATGGCTACGATTGAAAAAGGTGGCACGGGAAGCCAAACTTGATGAAACGTCAATTCAGCCTAGTGTTGTCCATGACCCATGGGCGATGGAAGCCAAAGAAGAGCAGGAATTTTCCTTCCTGGAGAAAAAGAAGCCAGTCGTTGCCCCAAAGACTTTGTCCCATGCACCTATATCACTAGCGGCTAATGGTAAAGCGATACCATCGGTGATAAAGCCCAAGGCAGGAACAAGTTACAACCCATCCTTCCAGGATTGGGATGAACTTATTACAAAGGAAGGAGAGAAGGAAGTCGAAGCTGAGAAATTGCGATTAGATGAGCAGAAGAGGGAAGCAGACCGAATCGCACGTATTGAAGCAGCTGAAGGTGATGATGGGCAAATAAAATCTGACGACGAAAGTGTATGGGAAGGGTTCGAAAGTGAATACGAAGCTGAGTCAATGAAGAAGAAACGACCTGAGAGGAAAACAAAGGCACAGCGAAATAAAATTTTAAGGAGGAAAGAGGCAGAGAGAAAAGCGAAGGCGGAGGCTAAAATGAAGAAAAGGGAGCAGCAAGCTGCACAAGCTAAAGCAATCTCAAAGCAGATTGAAGAGAACGAGAAGGCAAAACTGGCTGTGGCCAAAGCTGAAGAATCGTCTGAAGATGACGAGCCTACCCTCCGCAAGCGACCATTTGGTGGCAGAACTCCGTAAGTCTAATCATTATGCTCCTAATATACCCATCACTAACACGTATCCATAGCGTACCGGCCAAGCCGCTGGAGTTGGTTCTTCCGGAAGAACTTAAAGATTCTCTTCTCCTCCTCAAGCCAGAAGGGAACTTACTAGCAGATAGATATAGAACCCTGATGGTCCAGGGCAAGCTAGAAGCCCGCAATCCAATCACACAGGCCAAAAAGGCAAAGAGAAAAGCAACGGAAAAGTGGACATACAAAGACTTCAAAGTCCCATCAGTTTGAAAAGGCCAATCGCAAACTCTAGATATCGTTTTTGGCCCAAAGTGGAGGATCAAGGGTGTTTAGGAGTTCCGGCATTATGTACATACGAGAAATGACTAGTCTTTATCTCTTGTTATACCAGCAATCTCTCACTTATCATAATCTTAAGATCATTATTATATTGGAAAACAATTGGGGAGCCTGTATGTTCCATTTTAAGGTTCTGCCCGCGTCTATTTCCACGCGCCCACGAGGGCTAGACCAAAACGTTACATAATCAGTGAATTGTTTGCACTGTTTGTATCGATGATAAGACCTTCTGGCCTCAGATTAATATTTTCAAGCCGCAAGCGACAGGGGGAAAAAAGGCAACAGAGGTGACTTCATCAATGGGAGGCTGCGGGGTAGACGGGGTACACACTATATAGCTGGGATGGAGCGAAAAAATCTTTCAAGCAATTGGAAAAAGCTTCAGCAGACTCTGAAATCCAGCAATACTACGGCTGGTAAGAGTTCAGCTACAAAAAAACAGACATCAACTGGTAGCTCCGCAGTATGCAATGGTGGTGTGAGGAGGAAACTGTCATTCTCATCCAAAAATTCTACCAGCATTAAGGAGGACACTTATCGTGGACACGCATCTAAGCGGCGGAAGACCATGTCCACATCTACGGCGGCTACTGATGAAGACAATGCAGCACAAACGCTTTCAGGTCAAAAATCATCTGACAAGGACCTAGTGAATATAGGCCTCTCTTCTGAGTATGTATGTCCTCTAACGTCACCAGTGAAGGGATGCTTACGCACGTATGACAGTGTCGAAGTGGGAAAATACGTTGCAATCGACTGCGAGATGGTTGGCGTAGGATCAGACCCTGACAGGGACTCGGCCCTCGCCCGCGTCAGCATTGTGAATTATAATGGTGATCAAGTCTACGATTCATATGTCCGACCTAAAGAAATGGTTACCGATTGGCGGTCGGCGATAAGCGGCATCCTCCCAAAACACATGGCTGAGGCGCGGTCGCTGGAGACTGTCCAGCAGGACGTGGCCAAATTGCTCGATGGCCGTATCCTCATCGGCCACGCTGTAAGAAACGATCTAGAAGCCCTCTTACTCAGTCACCCAAAACGGGACATCAGAGATACCAGTCGATACCCGCCATACAGGAAGTTGGCAGGGGGTGGATCACCAAAGTTGAAAATTCTGGCTTCGCAGTTGTTAGGGTTGGAGATACAAGGCAGTGCACACTCGAGTGTTGAAGATGCGAGGGCGACAATGATGCTTTTTCGTAGAGACAAGGACGGTTTTGAGAAGGAACATGCGAAGAGATGGCCTGCTCGGCCAGCTCTTGTAGATGGTGGATCTGGAGAACAGAAGAAGAAGCCAAAGAAGAAGAAAAGGTGACCCGATTATTAATGCCTATAGTTTCTGTGGATACCCTTTTCGTATTGTCATTACTACGGTTAATGCCTATCAATAGAATTACCGGTATGTTGTAGATATACAGGTGCTGATTGCATAGAGAGCGTTTCGTATTGAGCAAAGCAGCGGCGTTGCCTCTTAGTTAACATTAAGCTACCTATTAACATCAAGTACAAAGCCAGGTTTTGTGCTTAATAGGTAATCTACCAGGAAGTAATACTGCATTCAGGAACAAGCGAATATAATTTTTGGCTGATAAGTGATATGGTGAATGGAGACTAACGCGACGCGTCAAAACCAACTTAAAAACATATACCTTATTTCAACGTCAACTCAGAACGCGGGAAAGAAGATATAAAGAAACTCATTGATACCCAACTAGAAGATACATCCTGGCCTGCAGCTATCGATCGAACCCGTCAGCGACCAAGTTCTATTATCGGAATAATGCTCGCTCTACGGCCCGCGACGGCCAAGGAGAGGGATCAAAGGCTGGAAGATCAGCCAGAACCAGACCAGGAGAATGCATCCCAGTCCCAATCATGGGTCAGCAGCGCTCATACACCAATATCTGTGTCGATGAACATACTACCCTGTCGAATTCACCATGATGGCCCGGTAGAAGTCTCAAAAAGATACTGGAATCCAGTCCGCGACGGGGGTTCTGATAACAGTATGTACATACTAAATATACCTACACTCATGCTTGTGAGCCACAAGTCCACTAAATCTTCCCTCAATTGAATAGAACAGTTGGTGTCGACTGCATATTTCCGTGGCCGAAAGTTGCGCGGTCGTTCCGTACCCCTCCCAGATGGCTACCACGGTACGTATCTTGTATGCTACAATGTACCTCATGTCTAACATGAATAGGCGTCGTGGTAACCAAGCTGCCGAAAGATGAATCTGTCACCAAAAGAGTGGCGGGATATGAAAGCGAGGATGAAGAAGATAACGAAGAACCTCTTTCTCAACTTGAGTCAGTTGGAAGGTTCTCTGCATTTACAGTATGGGAGCACGAGAAGCTCCCTACGGACGACGACCTATACGTTCGGTCTATGGAGGAGTGGGTATCGTTTGCACATTCGGTAAGTGCGTTTGATTCGCGGGAATGAGGGAGATGCATGAACTGACAGGTATATGTAGATACATGACGACAGAGCGGGACCTGCACAGTTGAAAAATTGAACAAACTATTGTTTTAATGAGATATTAGATGTTGGTTAAGCTTTAGGGTACGAGTTCAATATTCAGTGGTACTGTTTCGATATCTAGCATAAAAGATTAGGATAAAAAATATACATATGCTCCATTGCGGACATTAAATAATATCATAAACAAAGGACATGAAAGACTTAATTATACAACTACGTTTACCATCTGGTCTTGCTTAGACCGAGGCACTGGGCCATACGGAAGAAAACGTCAACGGAGTTGTAGACACCGCCAAAGTCTTCCTGACATGGTCCCATGGCGAAGACAGGAACGTCCGTGAGAGAGTGGACACCCTGGCCTTCATCTGGAGCAATGGTGCCGTTGACGATAAAGCCCGTAACGGCATCCTTGTAGTTGACATAGTAGTCCTTAGTTCCACGAGCGGTAGTAGCTGGGAGACGAGGTCCATCCTTATGGACCTGGTAGTTCTCACGCTTGTCAGGGTGAGCACCAAGGCCACTGTGAAGGGTGTAGCGTGGGTCCCATTGAGCGGGAAAGTGGACACCCTCCGAGTACTTGAGAGAACCCTGCTTCTGGACGGTGTACTGGGAGAGACCAGAGTTGAAGTAGGTACCGATAGCCTTACGCTTCTCGCGATCAGACTTCTGCTCGGCGAGGTACTTGGTGTCAACAGATCCGGTGACATCGAAGCCGTGACCGTGGTCGGCAGTGACGATGATAAGAGTATCATCCAATTCTCCTAGAGCACGGAGCTTGGTAATGGTAGCGCGAACGGTGTCGTCAAGCTCGAGAAGCTCACCAAGTGCACGGTCGTAGTCCATGGTGTGCATCTGCTTGTCGATGCTGGCAGCTTCGGACATGAGGAAGAAACCCTTGCCACGGCTCTCGCGGTGGTTGCGGTTACGGGTGTGGAGGATGTCAACGGCCTTGAGGGTCATCTCCTTGAGACCGGGCTGGTCATCGGCGTCCTTGTCAGAACCATCGGGGTAGTTCTTCTGGTTTTTCAGATTTTCCTTGTAGACATTGCGGTCGAGCCATTTAGCCATGACACTGGTGGAGAAAACACCAAGGGCACGATCGTCGTTAGAAGCCTGGGCGAGGGCTGTGGCGTTCCAGGAGAGGCTGTATCCCTTCTTTTTAAACATCTCGTAGTAGTTCTGCTTCTTGTTGTCATCGTTGGGAAGAAAGTCCTCAGCACCTCCACCAAAGAGAACATCGGGGCCATCCCACTGAGTCCAGGTGTAGTTGGAGAGACCGTGGAAATAGGTGTCGATAACATGAGCACTCTGGCCACGGTCACTAGTGTGGGCAGTCAGAGCAGCAGGGGTGGCATCAGACAAGTGAGCGGTAGAAACGATACCAACACCAGCACCAGGGTTGACACGGCGGAAGATCTCAGCAATGGTCTCGAACTTGGGATCATCGAAGGGAGACTTAGAAGAGTCACGGTACACGTTCAACGCGTTGACAGTGGACTTGTGGCCGGTGTAGAGGGCGGTGGCTGAGTTAGCTGAGTCGGTGATGAAGGAGTCCATGGAATGGGTCATTTGGTGGCCAAGGACGGGGAACTGGTCCATCTGCATCTTGGACTGGTACTTGCCATTGATGGATTGATGGGCCATGAGACGAGCAGCAGTGATCATGTTGGTGGTCATGCCATCGCCAATGAAGAGGATGACATTCTTCGCACGGCGACGGGTGCGTAGCTCTTTGACCTCCCAGGTAGCAGTGGTTTTCTTGCCATTGTAGTAGGTTAAAACGGCCTCGTAGATGCCAGGACGGTCCAGGCTGACACGTCGGAAGGCCTTAGATGCGACATTGACGATAGAGGGCTTCCCAGCATCTTTGGCGAACAGATCCTCGTACCAGGAGAATTGCCACTTCTCAAGCTTGGGCTCTTCGGTCTTGAAGAACTGGGTGGCCGGCTGTGGCTGCTGGTGTCCGCGTCCCTTGCGCTCAATGGTGAATGTGAACTTCTCATCTGGACCACCGACCCGGGCTTCGGATCCGTTGACGGGCGAGTGCACTTCAAGACGGATGTCGAAGAACTGTCCAGACAAGAACTCGGCCCTACACCGTCTGTTAGCATCACTATTATCCCTCGATGCGAGATTATTTGCGGGCGGCGGCCTACTTGTCCGGCGGGAAGATACATCCCAGGTCTGGACAGCCACCCAGACGCTGGAAGGTCTGGGCAAAAGCTGTGGAGGCAAAGGCGGAGGCGACAAGGACGGTGAACTTCATCGTGTCTGTCTGCCTGGCTTGGACGAGGAAGTGCAAGAGGAAGAAGAAGAGAAAGTCAATGGGGCCAGGTAAAGCTCTCCCTTATATGCACATCTGCCAACACGAACCTCGCCTCCCCTAGCCCTCTGTACCCATGCTCTGCCCGTCTTCGTCCGTCTTGCTCCTTTCGATATTGGCCTTTGATCTCGGTCCACCTCCCACGTTGTCGAGGAAAGGAACGCACACCCTTGCCAGGCGGCGCGCCTTTGCATCATCTTACATCACGAGTCAGCTCGCCAACTACTGCAACGTGCTGCTCCACGCCATCGCCGAGCCCTTGTATTCCTTGGGCATGGGCTCAGAGGATTCCGTCTTCTAGCTCGAGAGGCAAGCTACTTAGTAGGCTGGCGGCGGTGAAAAGGCTGGTCCTCCCTTGTGCTGTCGTTCCTTTCTTGCTTTTTCCTTGCTTCCTGGACTGCAATCTCCGAATAATTTAGTGAACTGAGTAAGGATGTCGACAGGGAAGTTTCTGTCGTGTGGAAAAGGAAAGAAGAAGGCGAGAAAAGTGAGGACAACAGCCAGTAGGGTTGTCACGGGAAGGCACGTGCTGCATGTTTAACTAGGTCAAGCCTCGCCAAGGACATATCCGTGATTATGTCATCCCGTCCTATTAATAGCTAAAGATTAGATAAGATTGTCTAAAAGAGGCAGTCAACATGTCAAGAGCAAGAGGAAGTCGCCATGCAAAAGAAGGCAAACAAAGGTCTCTGTAAAGGAGCGGAGTATAAGTTGGGAAGAGCCGGGAGGGAGGGAGAGGATATTGAGACCGCCTTGAAGATTGCCTTGTCCGCTTGCATAAAGTGTTGGATGCTCCATCTCGGACCAGATGGTTGGGTTCATCTCTTGGTCGCGGGCAGCTCAAGTTCCTGCCCAATAATAGTGCTGCTGGTTATAGGTTCATGCCCACAACTGTGCCCCGCATAAGATGGAGCATCTCCGAGTCCACTCAAGCCGCCTGTTGTTAGGAAGTCAAAGCCATGGAAGATTACATAAGACAATTTGATATTATGTAATTGCCAAGTTTGCTGGCTAACAGAAAGTTTGTTTTTTTCCTACCGGATCAGATCATATCAAGCCAGCGGGCACGACGATGACAGGTATGGGGGAGAATCAAGTAGATGTCACCGGCTTGGTGAAGCGATTCAGTCTTGAACGGCTGCTCAATCAAGGTATGGCGTCCTAATCGAATAATCGGATCCTTACCCGTGCAGCTGCCGCTAACTCGGGTATCCATACCAGACCAGAACGACCGGCGTATCTCGCTTCTCGGCTCCATCGACGATCAACCTGCCATCCTGCTCGTGGAACGCGCCGCCTTCGCCGTCGACCAGGCTTCCTTGGCCTCGCTGTGCACTTCTCTTACTCATGTATCTCTCATTAGTGCAAATGACATTTACCACTGGGCCCTCGCCTGTTCCCCGTCCTCGCCCGCCTCACCCGATTTGAAGCTTACCCTTATTTACCCATGCACACCCCAACATATTGCTAAATACTCAGTACAATTGGTACGCATGGTCACGGAGACACCAACCATCTACCGGGAACATGTCCGCCCTTACATGTCTGGCAAACGTGAAGCCGGCCGTCTGAACTGGGTTTATAATATCATCGAGGGGCGCAAGGAGCAAGAGGATGTGCTCTATCGTCATCAAGATGAGGAGGAAGGGTTCCTGCTACTTCCAGACCTAAACTGGGACCGTAAGACAATGGGTACACTTCGGCTGCTGACCCTTGTTCAGCGACGAGATATCTGGAGCCTGCGTGATCTAAAGAAGAAACATGTACCGTGGTTGAAGCACATGCGAAAGCGCATACTTGACAGCGTTGTCAAGGTCTATCCTTCAATGGAACGGGACCAGATCAAGTTGTACGTTCACTATCAGCCTACCTACTACCATTTTCACATCCATGTGGTCAACGTCATGCTTGATGCGGGCAGTACTCAGGCCACGGGAAAAGCATTTGGACTGGAGAATATTATCTCCCAGCTTGAGACCATTGCGGGCGATGAAGAGGCCGGGATGGCAGACATGGATCTTACCTACTATGTAGGAGAGGCCAGTGAACTGTGGATGAATGTATTTGCACCGTTGAAGGAGAAATCAGTACCATGACAACATGGCCTCCTACAACACTACTAATAGTTGCATCGATGGTGTTTACGTGCCAGTGTACATGGATCACCTTACCTGTCATAGTATTAGTACAATAGTTGAAGCCATAGATGTCACTTGTGAAATATTCTGTCAATGTCGTCATCTTACAGGTTCATATCTCGTGTTCCAGGAAGGAGTCACTATCACTTCGGGGTGCATTAGCCGCGGTTTGAGGCTTGATTCAGCAAATAGAGATCAAGAATCCGTGGTTAAAATATGCGCAGCACTTTGAATATGCTCCGTTCCTTGATGATGTGGCCATGGAGGCTACGTTGGAATTGATTGCATCCCAATACTCGCTTAAAGGAAAGCCGCTAAATACTGAATTTCCCGTGCACAATTGTCTGCTAAGTCTTGGAGAGAGACGCTGAAACTACACGAAGCAAATCGGGATGTTTTCATGATACTCAAAATTAATACGTTAACTAGTTTGTTATAATATGTCTGAAGATTCAATAGGCAGATGTGGATTCTACTTTAACTTTGCGATAAAAAGGGTGGAGGGAATGGTTATAAATACGGGGTAAGCGTTTACCCCAATATTATAAGCATAAATTTGCAAAATTCCGCATGTAGCGTTGTTTTGCGGCTGGCGGTTCCCCTCAATTGATTAACTGCAGCCAGCATTGAAAATCTGACGGAGTCTATATGGGTGATAGATGAGTGATGTCTTTACAAGGTCGTCCGTCCCATTTCCTTTGGATGAGACTGCTTACAAACTATGCAAACCCTTTACATCACCTCAAGTATCATTATATTTTCCCTGAAAGCATCTTATAACCGTACCCTAGATGGATACCCCCAAGGTGGAGCCAATGGCCGTGATCGGAATTGGATGCCGATATCCTGGAGGTATTAGAACCGTCCAGGAGTTCTGGGATGCAATTAGAAATGAATCAGACATGATATTAGAAGTTCCGCCCGATAGGTTTAACATTCACGCATTTCATAATCCCACTTCCCAGAATAAAGGCCGGATCAACAATATCAGGGGCGGTTTTCTGGATGATATCGACTAGTTTGACGCCAAACTCTTCAGGTACATCCCAACGGAAGAAAGACAGAATAGATCCACAGCAAAGAGCAAAGATTAATATTAGAAACCGCCATTCATGCCCTTGAGAATTTAGACACCCGACTACACTAGGTGTCTGGATCGCGTACTGGGGTATTCACAGGAACCTTCCAGTATGATTATGCTTTCATAGAGGGAAGGAGTATACAACGAGTTCAATCTAGCGGGGATTCGAACTTGGGAGCTGGCGCTTGTGGTCTCTGAAACTGAGTATTTCATCGGCTGAATCTGCAAGGCCCTAGTGTCACCGTGGATACAGCTTGTTCAGCTAGTATGGTGGCTCTTTATCTCGCATGTCAAAGCATCTGGACAGGTGAGAGCACAGCTGCCTTTGCTTGCGGAGTTAATGCAATTTTCCGTCCCGAAGCAAGCATTTCGCTTCCCATGGGAGGCTATTAATCAAAGCTACGGGTCTGTAAATCTTTTGGTAAAGGCGCGGACGGTTATCTGCGAAGTGAGGGTGTCGGGGTTGTTTACCTCAAGCCTCTCACCCAAGGTCTGGAGAACAAAGACAGGATATTATCGTCGACGGCGAAGTAGACTTCCCAATGACTGGGCAGGCTGAGGTTGGGTTCCTCGCTACCACCGTCCTTGGTCATCAATAAAGCGTGACGAATATTCGAATAGAGGATATGAGGTTCGAACATGCTCTTGTGATGGCTTCAACAGAAGATTTCCCACTACAGGCACAACTGGAGGTTACCTCTGCCGCTCATGATTCCATTATAAGCTCCTGCGCGGCGGATGCTAAGTCTGGCGATCCATGGCAAATAATTTCGCGCGGGCGAGTAAGTAAGTGCTTTGACTAGTTCAGAATCGCAGCTATTAATAGAAGGGCTATCATCTGCGCGAGCTCTAGTTCAAACGGGGTAAAAAGTTAACATTGAAAAATTCTATTTGAACTTAGAAAGGGCTGGTCTCCGGTAATGAAATGCCTTTCGTGGTGCACAGAAGATATGGAGACTTGGGAATAAAATATTCGCACTTGCGGCACTCTCTGAAGCCTTTCATCAAGAAGTAGCACGCTTTCGGATCCACCCTGCTCTTCAGGATGCAAGCTTGCATACATTGTACGTCAATCAACAGTACAGAGGGAACCCGACGGAAATATACCCCCCTTATGCCATCGAAGAAGTGCAAATGTTTGACGCACGTGGGGCTGTAAGCACTGCTGTTCATATCCAGGTTACTCGCCATGACGACACACTCATTCGTGGCCATGTAACCGTGTGGAGCTCGGACGGTGACTTAATCGCTATCGCTAGAGGGTTTTTTGGGAAGCAAATTCCAAGTCACAGTATTGGTAATGTGCCACAGTATGATATCTCATTTACCCCGGAGCTAGAAGGCAGTTCCTTCGAAGTTGTCTGCGGTAATGTGGTGTTATTTGAACCGCAACCAGGTGTCATGGATTGTACCTCCGCTATTCAGTCTGCTTTTCCAGGGGCTCATATACAAAAATTTGAAAGCTTTCCTCAAGAGAAGCCTAAGATAACGGAAAGGCTAGACTACCCTCTGGACGGGCGTGGCCTCATTGTCGTCCCAAGTATCATCTTGGCTTCCCGGGTGATTCAGCTATTGATCCACAGGCCAACCTAGAGTTGACAATCCATGCGATCATGGAAATTGCAAACCGCCTTCATTCATGTAAAGGGGCTACGACTGTAATCGTCATTAGCAAAGGAGATTGTATGACCCCAGTAGACTCAAACTGTGACCCATTCTCTTCTGCGCTACAGGTGGCCATAAGGGTAGCAGCGAACGAACTTCCGTGGGTTCGGCCGATTCCGGCTGATCTTCCATTTGGTGAGAGCGATAATCAACTCAAGTTGCTCGAATCAGAATTCCGCAGAGGTCGGCTTCGCTGTGATGAAAATGTAGTAGCCTTGAGCCCTGAAGGGGTATTCGTGAAACGGCTGATCCTCCTTAACCCTCAGGATGAAGGCTGCGAGGATTATAAGCCTGTACTTCTGATGCCTGCGCGGGGTGGCCGGTACTTTGCTGAACCTGATCCCGGAGGCTCACTAGATGGCATTAAGTTCCGTCAATGTGCTCCCCGGTCAGATGTTCTTAGGGCCGAAGCCATAAGCATTGACATCCACTACGCAGGTTTAAACTTCAAGGACGTTATCAATAGAATAGCTTAGGCCTATTGAATGAACGTGCGGTTTCTAAGTCTCTTTCAGGGCTCACACTCAGGATGGAGGTGTCAGGTATTGTCTCCGCCGTTGGCGAAAAGGTGCAGGGCCTCGAAGTTGGATGCGAAGTTGTGGCCAGAGTAGCGAACGGCATTGCTGGGAATATTATCGCCAATCAAAGTCTAGCTCAGTTCAAGCCCAAGTCGCATGACCTAGCACAAGCTGCTGCCGATGCCGGGGCCATGTCAACTGCATATTACACACTTTTATATTTGGCTAAAGTCATTGCAGGAGAAAGTGTGCTGGTTCACGCCGCTGTCGGTGGTGTAGGGATGGCGGCGATTCAAATTGCTCACGCACTTGGAGCACATGTATATGCAACCGCAGGGAGGTCTGAACGGCGTGAAGCTGTTGCAAACATGCAAGGCGTTCGGGGAGGATTTGATTCCCGTTCAGTGTCATTCCGTGATAGTCAAAAAGGCCACAAATGGCCGTGGAGTTGATGTGGTGTTGAACTCGCTAGCTGGTGAACTCCTAGCCGCACATGTCGAATGCCTAGCACCATTTGGGCGTTTGTAGGGACTGGAAAAACCGATATCTACCGTAATATGCGGCTGGGCTTAGAGCACTTTGGCCAGAACTGCTCGTTCTTTGTTGACATGGACCGATGGGTCAAACAAAAGCCGGAGAGGCATCGCAAATTACTATGTAAATATTATGGTTTCATAACACAGGAAAACTCGGGTCCCTACCTCTCATGTCATTCCCCGTAACGGATCTGAAAGCTGCGATGATTGCCTTGTCAAGGTCTGAGATCATTGGGAGGGCTGTGATTGAGCTGCCGGAAGAGTATAGATTCCTGTAGTTCCATACGCCCGGCTTCAACTGCGCAGTGACCAAAGCTACCTCATCACAGGAGGTGCCGGCGTATTGGGCTTGCAACTGGCAGCGTTTTTAGCTGACAGAGGAGCACGAAATATCGTGCTTGTCAGTCGATCGGGGCCTAAATCAGCAGACAGCAGAGCAACAATCGAGTGTTTACGAAGACGAGGAGTTAAAGTTTGGGTTGAACTCACGGACATTACCGTCGCGAAAAGAGTCGATTAACTGTTCAGCCATGAGAGAGAATGGCCAGCTGTGTCTGGTATTATTCATTGTGCTGTCGTGTCAGGGAATGTATCAGTAAAGGACACCACGACTGATAACTTCAGAAGAGTCTTTGACCCTAAAGCAAAAGGAGTGGCACCTTCACCAAGCCACAAAAAGCATGAAGCTGGACTTATTTGTCCTTATATCGTCTGTTGCTAGTTTAATTGGTATCCCTGGACAATTAGCATACTCAGCTGCCAACCAGTTTCTCGATAACTTGGTACATCACCGTCGGCATGCTGGGCTTACCGCATTGGCGCTCAACTATGGCGTGATGGGCAACTTTGCTGGTCCTTTCAAGAACTCTGGACACGACGCCGAAGAACTTGTTGAGTTCAACATGATGAGAGGACTATTCTCGATGAGTCTGCCTAAAGTGCTAACAACGTTGGAGAAAGCAATTATTGACAATATCACGCAACGAATGGCAGCATATATGGATTAGCGTATGTTTGTAGCCGAAGCACCTCACCTAGTCTTAGATGAAACATTCGTCAATCTTCCCGAGCAGAGTGCAAAGATGTAGGTCCGGTAGTTTAGGACCTGGAAAGGGACCAAAGGCCGTAGAGGAGACTGCCGATATTCTACATGCTGGTCTCGCGGAAATTCTTGGGGTAGAAGAGAGTAAAATCTCTCAGACCACAAAACTGGATCGATATATCACGGATTCATTAACCCTTGCATAAGTTCGAGGGATGATTCAGCATGATATCAACATACCATACCATGACATGAAGCTTTTTGGTAGCCCAACTCTCAAGAGCATAGCTCAGGAACTCGAACGAGTTGCAAATTCAGACCCTGACAGGCCAGAGATCTCGTCTCAAGAACAGAGTCAAGAGGAAGTCCAGGTATCCCTCCATTTTGATAGCCTAGCTAACATTTCCACTTGGTTCATACGAGGCAACAACGTTCTCGTCCCTAAAGGCCAACCTCCTCTTCTATGCATCCATCCGATAGCAACAGATGCATCTTTCTTTGCTCCATACTGGATCAAGCCACCACAGGGACAAGATAATATCGCGGTTCAAATCCCTGGCAGAGACAACAGAATCGGCGAATTTATCCTATCAAATGTCTCTGAAATTGTATCCGAGATCCTTGAAGAGATGGAGCCTGTCATTGGAACCCCGGTCATCATATGGGGCCATTCATTTGGTGGTATAGTTGCCTTTGAGACAATTCGAGAACTGAGGCGCCTTGGAGTCCATCCGCTGCCACGGCTAGTGGTAACTGCCACTATCGCTCCTCGTCTCCTCCGCTCCTGGAAAAAGCGGCCAATCATGCAAAGGTTATCCGCGGAGAGTGTGGAGGTAGGCTATGCTATCTCTACCTCGCGTTCGGTAGACGACGCAGCTTTTGTTCGATCTATTCTGCCGAATTTCAGGCGGGACGCGCGTTGGTTCAGCAGCTATGAATATATAAGCGAGGAACCACTAAATCTCCCTATCACTGCGTTTGCTACCCGTCACGATGATTTCGTATACCCAGATCAGGTCAAGGCTTGGGAAGAACAGACAGCGGTTTATTCGTAAACACCGCGAGAGGCCTAGCTTATATAGCTGACTAACAATACCTCTAAATTCGTTTTGATTAGTCATAGTTTCGTCATATGAAAGTAAAGCTTATAATTTGCACTGTTTGCATTATGACGCATTTCTTTCCCATCACGTTTTTCTTTTCTCAGCAATCGATTGAATACAAACACCGCAGCACACAGTCTGTAAATATCGAGAGCCGGAATTTGCAAACTTCGCATACTCACCATTAAATAAGAGCTGTAAACTCAAGATGGCTGATAATAATCCTGATTGTCCGGACAATGTGAAGGCCTTCGTGCCCCTCGGTTAGTTCACCCCTCTTTCAATATGTACATGCACTCATAGGTACCACGGTTACAGAAAACAATCCGGAGGTCATGTCGCATCTAATCCACCAGCTCGGCCTCCCACGTACCCTCGGCTTTGCGGATGTCTACAGCATCTCGGATCCAGAGCTTCTGGCCTTCATTCCTCGGCCTTCACAAGCACTCCTTCTCGTCTTCCCCGTTTCTGACACGTATGAAAAGACCCGGGTTGCTGAAGATGCTAGTATTGAACCATACGCTGCCTCTGGGCCGCAGGAACCTGTAATATGGTTCAAGCAAACAATCCGGAATGCATGCGGCCTCATCGGCTTACTTCATGCTGTATCCAACGGTGCCGCGAAGAAGGAAATTGCCAAGGACTCTGACCTAGACCGGCTGTTACTAGAGGCTGTTCCATTAGCACCTCAAGAGAGAGCAGACTTACTGTATTCTAGCTCCGCCCTAGAGAGTGCACATGCAGATGCTGCAAAAAAAGGAGACACGAGTGCTCCTAGTGCAGAAGAGAAGGTTGACTTGCATTTCGTGTGTTTCGTCAAAGGTAACGATGGTCGGCTATATGAGCTTGATGGGAGGAGGAAAGGCCCACTGTGCCGAGGAGAGTTGGCTGAAGATGAGGACATGTTGAGTGAGAAGGCGTTGGACAAGGGGGTGAGAAGATTCTTGAAAACAGAAGAAGACGCGGGACACGGTGATTTGAGGTTCAGTCTTGTTAGTCTAGGGCCAGTGTTTGATTGATGAGATTGATGTAAACTGTACTCCAGTCCGATGGAGTGATATTGCGCTGTATACAAATTTTTCGCCCAGCCATCCCTAGTCCGCCCACCAACCATCCCAGTTGAATCTCATTACCTCATCCCCTACAGCCCACCAACCCGCAGTTAGATAGCGCGCAAACACTTCCAAGGCGGTGTATCCTTCGTTATCAAAAAAGGCATGCTCAACTAGCTCCCTTATCACTGGCTTCCGGGAATGTATATCCGGTACCCCTGCGATAATCCTCCTCCTGATACTATGCTCTTGCCGGCTTGCTCTCCCTACTATCAAGATTTCATATGGCTTCCTCCAAACTCCATCAAGTGCAGTCACCATCTCTCCAGTAACTGTCGTTTTAACCCATATCCATTCCTCGATTTTATTAACGCCAGCTGCCTCAAAAGCACTTTCGACTGCTCGCCGCGCCTTTCCGGAATTTGTAACCCAAATGGCTATTATACCAGAAGATGTAAGAAACTTCCGTTTAATATTTTCAATCAGAAGCTCTAGATCATCAAACGACAAAGTTGAAGTGGTGTACTGTTTTGAGCGTTTAGCTGACCGATTGGGCCATGGTGGATCTGCAAGGATGAAGTCAAACTTTTGAGTAGGCGGAATCATAGAAAGCGGGTTGGTTAAACATGGTAGGCTTGATTGAATATGCGTCAGTATAAAAGTCGATTTGGGCGGGATTCGAAAAAGAATTGAGTTCCCCGAATCAGAGTCTCCGTCAGCTCTGATTGAGTCGAGAACCCGAGAAAGCTTTATTGCGGTTTGATAAGAGCCAGGGTTCTTTACGAGTGCATTGTAAATGTCTCTACCAGATGAGAATATGTTTAATTCTGATGAAAGAATAACAGGTGGAGAATTTGAGGTAAGATCCTGGTGCTTTTGCCCTTCATTAATCTCCAACTCCGCACCACCGGAGCCTAGGTATATCTTTGAAAGTAATGGGAAGCCTGCTTCTTTATCAGGCGGCAATATGCGCCTGGTATAACACCATTGACCCTGGAAATTCTCCCGGAGCTTCCTTATCTCATCTTTAGCAAATGCACATATCAAGGCATGATATTCACGTTCTTCGGGCGAGACAAATTTAAGGACCTTCTCCTTCCGCGAAGCTGTCTTTGGTTCAGGGGACGGTCCACTGTACGGGCTACTAATGGCCTCTGAGGAGTATATCAGTGGTATCCTGGACCAAGGATCACTTTTGATATTGCCTGGTAATTGCTGGGTCAAGCTGATTGATGCCGGTATATCTATTATAAATAGATTCTGTGACGTATCTTGGTATACTATCGAAGACAAATGAGGTGATATTCCGGTCCCCAAATTTTCAGAACCGGAATTCATGGCATTAGGTGAACCTGCCTATATTTGTGTTGCGAAAGAGATCTCGGTTGGGAGAGCGTCAAAGCAGCGATGAAATTAGCTATTTCGGTCTTGGCGTAACTAACTAGCTCTAGTTAGGTGCTTAAGCTTTCGCCCAATTTCTCTCATGCGGCTTCTTTCTTACAGTTCCCATTTCGATGTGTGTATGAGAACACCGCCTGTGTATGCACCCACCATAGGAAGTACATACTGTGACCAGCCATGAGGGACTTTTCAATATTTCGACGGTTTTTTAATCCGCTGGCAGTCCTGGTATTTTTGGGTATAACAATAAGCCTAGACACAATTGCTCTTACCATTGACGCTCGTTCTCGTGCTCCTTTGAAAGACTCGGTTGAGTTCTACTTGAGCATTCTACAGGTCTAACATTTGCTTATAGGATTGTGGCTCTTACGTGTCTAGGTATTGGGCAAGCAAGTGCGAATATGGCAGTACCTTCATTCTCTACTGCTGTCAGAAGTCAGGGATAAGACGTATGATAAACAACAGAATCCCAGGATTTATGTGCAAACTCTACCAAATATACTTCACTTTTATGGCTGCTATAGGGTGTTTGACTGCCTAGTATAAAATCGAATGATCCTGCAGATGGCTTGAGGATACTGGGTGATACCTGTTTCATATGTGGCCCTATGTGTTGATATTATGTTGCCATGAATGTTCCTACTACCTCCAGGTGAAAATTTTCGAATGACTTGGAATAATATACTCATATCATCATTCTAGTGATGATGCTATATTCATGTTTTTGGCAATATATTCGGTTAGAATTCCCCAATATTGCTTTCGGCTTGGGGCAAATCTTCCATCCTTCGTTCTCCGCCGGCTTTTCGGGAGACCGTGGCTGACCTGTACATTGAATAACATCAAAGCTTACTGTATAACTAACCAATGTGCTGACGTATTTCTGTCAGGGTGGTTACAAAAGAGCTGAGGTGGCCCTTCAATCATGGAATCCATCCACAGAAAGCAGGGGCGTGGTAGTCATTTCTGACTACAACGACAACTTTGTCTTGTGTATCCACTGGTCTGCATCTACCATGATTTCAACGCCGATCTTGCTCTTAAAACTCGTGGGTATCTAGGTTGCTCATTCTTGGCTTATTAGTTAACCAGTAGCGTAGAGATGTCCACGGCAAAGTTAACCTGACTATTCTATGAGGCTGGCCTTCCAGGTTGCGCAGGGATTATTGCGCTAGATACTCACATACCTGTGCGGTTCGAATTGCACCTGTCCAACCTGTTTAAGGTAACTCCTGACGGGACGCTATAAACGCATGAAAAGACATGCTATGATAGGAATGGCGGACTGGTGTTATTTATGGATTTATTCCATTATTATGGGGTCATTCAAGATACTATACATAGTGGGCTACTTCAGCAAGAATAAAAGGTCCTTTCAATGGTGATATACTACTTGCGATATTAAGGGATTACTTATGACAACACTGAATTAGGGCACATTTGGGGCGGGATGAAAGGAAAGGAGTGGCTCTGTTGATTATCTATCGATATGCGGACCGTTGGATGTAGAGAGATGTAACTTCTCTCGAGTAACTACTTCTTATGTGCCGTATTCAGATTTGTCGCAGGACGTGACACGGAAATACATCTAGCTAATGCCCTTACCTTCTTATAATATAAAATAAAATTTACGTAACGGTGGAGGCTGAAGCAATTTACAAACAGTCTGATGGCATATAAAAGCAAGTGTCTTCCCAAACTTTTATCCCCTTGCGTTGCTCAGAGCAAAAGTGTAGTTCTTAACTATTTGGCCGACCCACTTGCACCAACCGGGTGGATCGTGCCAAGAGAACTTAATTTTGTTAAGCGTATCATCCAACTTTAACCTTGACTGACCACATTCCACAAGTAGGTGGCGATGGGGATCGCAGCGATTGTGTTCAAAAGTGCATTACTTTTACACGCCATGAGAGCATGGACCCTGGAGAGTGACTCGCTGCAAGAAGACATGATCATGCATCATCCACCGAGATAAGCTGTTGAGAAGAATCGCTGTCACATAAAGGGCCCTAGCGATCGATCTATTACTGACAAGAACTAATTATCAAGTCAAACAATCCACCACATATTGTACTCGGTAACAATCTCCTAATAAATTACTAATTACAGAGTAGTTGGTTCTTCAGTCTTACACATGTTTAATTTTGACTTCTGCCACTGCTCACAAAGCATCACTTCTCAAGACTTATGAAAGGGGAACTTAAGGCAATTATATGTTCGAGCACAGCAGCCCAACCATTAAAAAGGATCACAGGGGCCAACCCACGCTCGGCCTGCAGGCAAGGAAAACAGAAGTAGAGTATAGACACCCTTGACTCCAGCTTGGGTGGTATGAGCTGAAAATATTGTCTTCATGCATGACTTGCTATCTGCCTCAACTAACGGGTAGTTTACAGACTCAGTGGTATAAAAACAAATAACTAGTGACACTCGAGTAAAAACAGATAAACCAAAATAAAACATACATTCGCCTGGCTTAAAGACTTATTTTCTTGTACATACGATTTGCTCTCTTCTCCGTCCTGACAAGCGAGTACCTAAGCACATGAAGCCTGGACTCGACCTTGGCTAGACAATAATACTTGAAATCAACACACACACAAAAAAAAAAAAAAATAAAATAAAATAAATAGAGGAAAAGGGAACGCAGGGAATGAGATAAACATGGAGTAAAAATTTTTCTGACATGCATATGATGGGTCAAAAACAAGACAATGTACAAACTGAAATGAAACAAGAGCATTTTTTAAACTTGAAGCCAGAAGAAGGATGGAGATACAAACAGGCCAAAAAGGGGCGAGAAAAAAAAAAAAAAGAAGGGAGGGGGAGATAAGGGAAAACACGGAGAGTTGAGAGGATAATAGGTAGAATGAGGAAAATTCCATTGCTCATCCCACTTCCATCTTCTCTGTGCTATCCCTGGCAAGTACCTACATTTTGCATTCCTAGCTATATCACTCTTGCGAACCAGCGCTAAGATGAGATAGGGGAAAAGAGGACGAATGCATAGTAAGGGTGAAGACGCAGGACCAGCTTCTTCATCGCCTGCAACGGAAATGTTTCATGCCATAACAGTTTCCATCCATGCTCGAGATGTTATAATTTAGATATAGCATTCAGCATTATTCCTGGATCGCATGAGTATGAGAGTTGAATAATGCAAGTCAAAACGGCAGAACGATAGTCAATAAACAGTTCCCAATTTTACATATATGGCTGCATCATCGATAAATGGCTTCAAAGAATGTGCTCGCAATGTCATAAAATCATCAGGAGAACTATGTGGAAATATCAGATTAATTATCATATGAGGGCGGGGAGAATATAGACCGATAGAGGCTAGAGAAACTTACACGACCACGTCGTCCAGAAGGTGGAGCACCCTGTGCTCCTGGGGTTGGTTGATAAAATTGTTGAGGGTAATTGTACAGTTGCCCCGCACCCATGACAGGGCTAAACTGCTGGTTTCCAAATGCAGTTGGTTGAAGGATCGAGTTTCCGCTCATTGGCAGTGGAGCACCGCCGGGGCCTGCCATGGCCGGTTGCACAGAACGGAAGTTATCTAATGTTGAACCAGTAGTGGCTGGGAAACCGTTCATTCCCATTCCCATACCATTTCCAGGCGGGCCGGGCGGGAAGAATCCAGCCGTCGGCATGCCGCGTGATTGAGCAGCAAGGAAGGCTTGGTATTGGTACTGTTGTGGATTTAGAGGTGGCATTTCTTGGGAAATGGCGGGGTTTGTCATTGGCAGGCCAGCAAGACTATTCATAGAGCCGAATGAATAGGGGTCATATTGCGGCATAGCTTGTTCGGACGAAATGGACCGTGCCATGTTTGGAGGAGAGCTAAGAGATTGCTGCATGTTAATGTTATGTGCACCCATCTGGGTGCCATACTGGCGGTCAGCCTGGTTTTGTTGGGCTGGGAAGTTGTTTCCTTCCTGGCGTTGCTGGCCAGACTGGCGCTGATGTTTCTCTCTATCATTGCTAGTGCCGTGGTCACGACCGTGGTGGGAATCACGAGAAGTTGTAGTACGTGAAGACAACCCGACCTCATCCATAAGCCGCTTATACCCCTGGCTAGGAGTAGTCTTCAATTTAGTAAGCACCTTGGCGACTGTCTTGACTACCTCTGCACGCATAGCTTCTTCAAAGAAGGGAGTGGTGAGGACTTTGAAAATCAATGTTGCACCAGAAGACTGGTCCTTGAGAATGCTTTCCAATGTCTCATCCCCAGGGCTGTAAAACAGAGCCTTCAAGATGATCTCCCTAGCCTCTGGCTCATTTCTCTGGTTGACAATCTTCAATACTGTTAAATAGGCAACTTTGTGTGTACAAAGAGCCACAAGATGAGGAACCAGTCGTGGGGCAAGCACAGTACGGCGGTTGGGGAACGTGCAGGTATCGAGGAACCATGTCAGAAGTAAAGCACCGTTAGCATTCGTTGCTAGTTGAACACTGTGTAGCGCGATCGCAGATGCAAGCATTCGTTGCTGATCCTTGGTGGCGTGATGGCTCTCCAAGCAAGCCCTCATGGCCCTGGCACCGAACCGTCCCTGTGAGATTTCCCACATGCGGCTAAGCATGGTCTCGAAAATGAAATCATTGAATGGAGGACCAAAGCGCAAGCAGCATTGCAAAACATAGTTTCCGTATTGGTCAAGAAACAGTGGGACAGTGTATGGCCTGAGGCTGTCCACGATCATCTGCTTCTGGGAGTCTACTTTGGAGACATCGATGATCTTCTGTGCAGCCCATGTACCATTCTTGTGCACGCCAATTTCTGCAAGATGAGGAGCAATAGGTATCAACATCTGCTCTTTGGCCGGCTCGGAGCAGAACTCGAAAAGCTTTTGCACCACTGTGTTGCCTAAGTAGTCAGAGGCTAGCTCGGCAATTTCAGGGAGCATTTCATTTGCGGTGTCTTCGATTTCTTG